AACAGGAAATCGTGTTTTTGTAAGAAAATGACTTAATGAGCCCAGAAAATTTTGAAAATATCCTGACAAACCAATACATGATAAGCACTGTATATATTTTGTAAAGACTGCTGTATTGATTTAAATCCTCCACTTCCTCTAAAAGTATAGTACTGCTTATATGATCAATGTATATTTCACCAGTAGATTTTATGAACCGTACTTCTGAGTCCTAGACCCAACTTCTCTATATGACGTTACTTGGAAAGCAAACTTTCTAGACTCTTGTCTTCCTAAAACTCCTATAAAGTCTTTGTCCTTATTAGAATGTGTAAAATTTGCCCAGAAAATGTAAAATACCTGGGTAGCTGACTATTTTGTGTAATTTGCATAGGAGTCACATGTTAAGATTGATCAAACGGTAGTCATGCCAACTGCTGTGTTTGATAGTGACATTGATGTTTAACACATTTCAAATGAGAACTCAAATATTACTCACTTTTGTTTTAAACTACTATAGGGTATATTGTTGGACTGAAGTGTCCTATTTAGCATACAATGGGTTGTGTACTATAATTTGTTGACTGAAGTGTCCTATTTAGCATACAATGGGTTGTGTACTATAATTTGTTGACTGAAGTGTCCTATTTAGCATACAATGGGTTGTGTACTATAATTTGTTGACTGAAGTGTCCTATTTAGCATACAATGGGTTGTGTACTATAATTTGTTGACTGAAGTGTCCTATTTAGCATACAATGGGTTGTGTACTATAATTTGTTGACTGAAGTGTCCTATTTAGCATACAATGGGTTGTGTACTATAATTTGTTGACTGAAGTGTCCTATTTAGCATACAATGGGTTGTGTACTATAATTTGTTGACTGGAGTGGGTCAGGATGGAGGTTATGTTTGGGAAATGGTGTACTTACATATAATTTATAATAAATTCCATTATTTCAATAAGTGCTTAAAGTGTACCCTGAACGAAAATAGCAATGAATATATGGTTATTCAATATGATTCAAAAACAAATGTTGAAAACCGCATAAAAACCGGTCATCCCAATACCGAGATATTGACATGTAAATTGTACGATTTTCACCTGTCCTTCTTCTACTAATTAGCATCATCATAGCTTGACGCGCTGAATTGGCCCCTATAGGCTGTGACGTCACAAGTTCATGCAACGCCTGTTGCGGTCACCATCGCAGGAATAGGCGATATTGAGAACAGCCCTGGTCAAACAGCGTCAGATTGCGAATTAATGTTTGTTTTAGTTTTGAGTAATCAGATTATGCTGGAGATAACATGATGTAGATGGTATCCAGTCATATAAAATTTGACAGAATTTCCAGACAGTGAGTTTAATTGAAACCAAACTGACGACAGGTAGCATTGCATGTCCTGATCCTGAGCACTGATGAGATATTTTTTTCGAAACTGACGACATGGTGTCTTCCTTATGTTAGCTATAGGTCTACAATTAAAAAAAAGAGCAAAATATCAACAGTTACACATTTAAGTGTATACAATACAGTACCTATATGTATGCGATGCTTTGATTAGTCCCGTGACTACATTTATCTCAAAAACATAATTGAATTATGAGATTTTTGTTTCTCCCTATACATCAGAGACGTATATACTTTAATATGGCTTATTTTATATGTCTCTGCTATACATGTAGCATACACAAGTTATAATTTAACATCTCGATCAACTCCCTTAGCATACTAAGGTGTGCAATTTGTGTACAGGTAAATAGCACTAAACACCTGTGTCCAGTGCTGACAGCAGGAGGCCCAAGACACACCTATATACCTGTGTACAGGTATGACATCAAAGGGATGTCAGCAGGTGGGCAAGGGGTTACCTGAAGTTAGTATGTAGATTGCAATAGGTGTAGATTATGTGTCTTCCAATTTTCAATTTAACAACAATGTCCTCAGGTGAGATAAAGGGGAAATGTATAAACAGAGATGTATATATTACGTCTCTGGTATAAGGACCAATTTCAAGAAATACTGTCACAGGGTCACAATGTTGAATATATTGGTAGGTATTTCGGGTATATTCTCCTTGTGTTTCTCCTTCAACAATAAACATACAGGTAGATACTATACATGCCTCCGGATCTCCCCCCGCACAAGAAAATTACGTGTACAGGTAGATATATACACCTATATATGCCTCCGGACCTCCCCCCCCCCCCCACACAAGAAACTTATATTATGTGAACAGCTAGATATATACAACTATATATGCCTCCGGATCTATATATAGCATACACATATTGTAGTATCAATTTCTTTGAATTATTGATTCACTTTAAAATCCAATCCTGATATATAGCCTTATATAAGCTTTAATCTAACAAGGCATATGGTGAAATCTTTGTGTGGTTTAGGACGAATGTACTTAAAAATGTCATGGTTATCAGGATTTACCTTACTTTGATGTTAAAAAATCAATATTTACTTAAACAATCAAACGTTTTTCATTTTCTGTCAATCAGATATGTTGCATACATGTAATCAGCATGAAAGATTACTATATTATTGTTTGACCATATCGATACAGCTTCTTATCATCTATGGGCTCAAACTGTGTCTGAAAAAGTTGCTTACTATCCCGGTTTTTATCTTTAGTTTTTTCTTTGATTGGTAGTCTATAAGTTCAGAACATGTTTGATGATATGGCAGAAAAATTACTGAAGAGTTATAAAAAGGAGGGGGTTCCAATCACAACACAGCCCATGATCAGACCTAGGTGTCACCAGTTTGAGTGGGTGTTTATTTGCCCAACTAGTTTTGGACTCTTTAGCAAATCTTCATCAGGATTTCAGCTCTACTTTTTTCATTTAAATATTATAAATATCTTTCAAATAGCAAAATATTGTTGAAAATTATTAAGACCGCATCTTTACTCTAAGATACATGTATTGATTAGTAAATCTGGTCTGTGTATACTCCATGACCTTTTTAATTATACATACATGTAAATATACCAGGTTATGTAATTATAATGTACACGTATGTTAAGTACAAACCACTTAACTTGTACCTCTCAATTCCAATATAGTACATACATTGTAAAGAAAGACACAGGCATCTTTAAAGTTTGTCAGAAATACAAACTTTTCATTTTCAATTCAGTAGCCTTATACAATGTATAGAGAAATAATATATATTATATTATATTAAAATACTTAAATTCATGATTCAGAAGATTCTATTTAAGTATTGATTATAATTTATACATATTATTTACTGTGTTATAGTAGGTACCTATTCAGTTAATTAATAGATGTAAAAAATTATGTTGTTCCATAAACCCTTCTGTATGAAATAATGCTAAAAGTGATCTCTCTCAAAAATAAGGGGATTAAAAGTAACATATAACTCTAAGCTGTTCTATTGAATGAATTATACTGTAAATTATCATGTTTTAGTGGTGGTCTTATTTTAGCCCTTTTGGCACTTAACACCTTAGCTTGAACTACCGGGATAAAGTATGATATAATGCCAATAAATGTTCCTTTTAATTTCCACTTATTAAATACATTGTGGATGAGCTTATTCATCAATACACTAATCTGTCAAAATCTGATAATACGCTCAAATTTGAATGTCCTAAAATAAGCACATTTAAGCTGTCAAACCTCCCTCATTTGGAGTGAGACTCCCTCATATTTACCGATCTCCCTCAAAACTTCCTCATTAAAGTCCAAACTCACACAAATTCAAAATCTACATCCAGTGGTCAAATGATCTCCTAGTTACTGCAGGGTGTGTCTAATGATCATAATCAAATTATTGTTGTTTTTTGTTGTTGTTTTTTTAAACATTTTTGTATATTACCTGGTATAAAAAGGGAACAATAAATTGAGCAAAGCAGTTTCTGCCACGTTTCACACACTTTCTCCCTCATTTGAAATGTGGAATGAGGGAGATCTTCCTCATTAGAGGTTTCAGAGGTTGACACCTATGCATTTACAGTAAATGAAAGCAGGAGGTAGACAGATTTGTTGATTTCATTAATTAGTTCAAAATGAGTCTGAATAATTAAAAGTCTCCCTCTAACATAGGGACTCTTATTAAAGCTTGCATTGAATTAGCCAGTATGAATGAACTTGATATACAATGTACATCACATGTATATACTGTACATCACATAGTCATATATTCTGATCGTGAGTAATTATATTTACGATGAATACATGTGCAAAACACTTTGTGGAATTGTGGCTCATCATGACTAAACGTTCATAGTCCCATCAACACAACGTTTTTTTTTATCATTGTTACTATCTTAGTAAAATAGTTTTTGTAAATTATCAGTCGTTGTATTAAAAACCCTTGTATGCATGACATGATCAATCATGATCAATACACATGTGTATTGTAATTGTTTCTCGGTGATTGAAAAAATATATTTTACTATTGGTATATATATATATACACTTTTTGTATGTACATGTAGTTGTGTGGTGTGTTTTTACTCATGTTGATTTAATATGTGTTCTTAGCTAGCATGACTCATTATGTGTTGTATTTTACTACAGGAAAATACTCCTGATTGTAGATAGTTCTGTCTTCAGTTAAATGTAGTAATTTACATTATTAACATAGATTACACTCTAGTAAACTTGATGCACTGTACACAGGTATTTGTTTATTTTAAAGAATCAATTGATGAGTGAATATGAAGTAATATTTTGAAAATAATGAATTTTTGAAAAAAGTTCAAAATTCTGATCCTGATTAGTATCTTCTTGACAGTACATATTTATACATTTTGAAAAATGGCAAAATATGTGGCATGTATTTAAATACAAACGGGTTAATTTACAGCTGAAAATGACAACAGTTCTATAATAATAAAATATATTTAATGCTTTGAATTTCTATCATGACTATATTGCTTCCAATTATTAATTCTATTTTTGACCTTGAGTTGTCCCCCTTGTTGTAATAGTTGTCTCCCTTGATGACATGTTCTTCCTCTCTGTCTTTCAGCCGTACCATTGGCAGAGTCACAATGTCAAGACCAGCGGGGTCGATGACATGGTGCTCCTCCAGAAAATCTCGGAGGCAGCCATCCTCGACAATCTCAAGAAGCGCTTCATGGATGACTGCATCTATGTATCCTTTCTCAATGATGAGTAATACATCATATTACATCATTTATCTCCCTTTACGAAAATAAACTCATGTTTTCATTTATTGTCTCTTTTTAAAAAGGATGTGCATGTAAATCACACTTCTTTTCTCCCGATGAGTATTTCTTTATGAATACTCAAAAGCTGTAATGATTTAATGTGAATTTTTTTTTTTAAATAATGAGAAAGTTGTTGTCAATAACAGACTAGTTGTTTATTTTTCTCGGAAGTTCATTGTCCTGTTAATGTCACATTTCTCTTTATATCACAGGTCCTCTGACAAATGCCACTTGACACTAAGAGGAATATGCAGTTTTATAAGTTTATAATACTGATGCTAACATTGTACCTAAACTAAATTATTTTTACTCATAATCATTCATGAGGTTCCCATTGTCATCAAAGAGACTAGATTTGTGGTTTTATCATACTTTTTTCAGTTGATGTTGATCATGTTCCCCCGGAAATAATTAACTTTGTTTGTGTATCTGGGTGTCAATAAAATTGTGTGTGCGTACATTATATTGCTGGTTTAATGTACATCTTTGTGAAGTCAATCCTGTCAATATACATTGCTGAGACACACATCAACTCGTTGTGTGGTTATACCAGTTACACTTGTAATGTCAACATACCTAGATGTCAACTCACCTGCAGTCATAGTATTTTCTACTCTATACCTTTAACAAAAGATTGTTTGCATTACATGTATTATCTTTTAGGCTTTATACACAAAATTAAGGTTACAGTATAAATTGGTCAATCTAATTAATGTCATCAATATATTTTTTAAAACATTTTCACAAAATTGATGAATTCTCACATTCTTTTGTAAAAAATCATCCCTGAATGTATACACAATGATACTTCACAGATGTAGAGAGGTCATGGGTCTAGTATATATATATAATGATATGGGAAGTCAGTCATTGCCGGACGGATATTTTGCCCAGCGAGAACGGCATTACTCATGGTCCCATCTATAGCTGCCTATGACTAGTATAGATAGTTGAGGACAGTATATGTGTCTGATGGATACATTGTTATGTATTTAGACACGAGTGTGAACTTTACAGACGTGTGATATACGCTCGTTGCACATTACACAGATGTCGCGTACTGTGACTAACATCACCATAGAAACAAATGTTAGAGCTTCTCCAACAACATTTATAAACGTATTAATATGTTCAAATATTTTATCCTTAGTTTTTAAAGTGTTTAGGGGGTAGTTGGTAGCTGGTTGAGGATCTGCGGTATACAATGATAAATAAAATATGGTTACATGATGATAACTGCAGCACAATATATATCTACGGTATACAATATAATGACAACTAAGTTATTTTATTAGGAACATGTGAATATGTATATGGTTTTGACTATGGCATTTGTCTTTGACCCTTGGATTGGGTGATATATTAATGACGAAGGTTATAATATTTGTTTTTTTCCTGTATATTGTTTTTACCATGAGATTCAGTGACAAATTACATGACGAATATGGTACACTAAAAGGTAAATGGTTTTGACCGTTGGATGTGGTGATATAATTACGAGTAAGGTATAACACAAGGTACATGTTGGTTATATTTTGACCCTTGGATTAGGCAATAAAATGATAACTGAGGTAAAACATACGGTACATGGTTTTAATTCTGTTGGGATTTTATGGAATATAGTGATGACTAACTGAGGTAAAACATAAGGTACATGGTTTTAATTCTGTTTGGATTTTATGGAATATAGTGATGACTAACTGAGGTAAAATATAAGGTACATGGTTTTAATTCTTTTGGGATTTTATGGAATATAGTGATGACTAACAGGTAAAACATAAGGTACATGGTTTTAATTCTGTTGGGATTTTATGGAATATAGTGATGACTAACTAAGGTAAAATATAAGGTACATGGTTTTAATTCTGTTGGGATTTTATGGAACATAGTGATGACTAACTGAGGTAAAATATAAGGTACATGGTTTTAATTCTGTTGGGATTTTATGGAACATAGTGATGATTATGATACAGTATACTTGTAGGTTCTAATTAATAAATTGGCTTTGTTATAGAAGCGAGTCACAATAAACCATACTTAATGATTAACACCTAACTTTAATCAATTTACTTCTTTCTGGTTTTTATTTTTGTGTGCGTCCAGGTCAGTTAATGTAATTCATATATTTAAGCCCGAGTGATAAAAACTACTCTGTTTCACATTATTTTATTATTCCAATTATCTGTTGTACTTTGTGTTTGGTTGATATCCCCAAAAACATTTTAGCATTGAGACCACAGCTATGAGCCCTGGGTTACATCTTCTAATCACAGAGATGTTTAACCTCAACAAATCTCGTTGATATGTTCATTAACCTAACTGCGATGACATAAAATGACCTAATATGACTTTTTGATCATGATCTCAAGTTCCCTGTGGCACAATCGCTCCGACCTTCACAATGCATTAAAACAATACTTATTATCAGTACTGTACAGCGGGGAATGTTTGCAGAAGTTCAACTTTCGCCTTTTTCGTCCTCCGTAATGAGGGCAAATTTATCAACACAGTGAAAATAAGCGCACAACATACCATGCATAGTAATTTTATATGAACGGTGAAAAGAACACTGCATGGAAACAGATTCTTCCAGTGAAGGGCGAAAGCTTCCTGGTACATGTATTCAGAAATAAGTGTGAGGAGTGGGATGCAATATGGCCCATTACACAATGTACTGGTCAGTACCACCATGGACATACAGACACTTGACCAATTGCTATACAATATGTTAAAACATGTTGAACACCTGCCATTGACTTATAAATTTATATATAAAGGAGCGGTGGGCACAGGGCCCAAAAGGTTGGATGGGCTTCAAGAAAACACGGTGGTACACAAAGAGAATTAGTATTGGAAACTGTAGTTCAATTAAAAATTCTTGAGATATTTATTCATAAAGAAAGCCATTCATAAATGAAATGTTTTAAACATGTTGTATTCTTGTGATTTCTTCATGCATAACACTTAACTTTTAGGTAAGGAAATCATTTCTGCAAATAGAACCTAATTAATTGAATAATTTAAACTTAAATGAATAGGCCTGTTTTATTTTGCAACTGTATCAGGTTTTTTTAAGTTTCCTTGACCACGGCCAGACCTACATTGGGCCAGTGTTGGTATCTATTAACCCCTTCAAACAGCTCTCGATCTTCACTGACCACGAGGTGGAGCAATACCAAGGAGCAGTAAGTATACTGTTGTTTGTTTTCTGTTTTCTTATGATCACATTTCTAAATAACACTGAGACAAATTTGATGGTAGCTTGTAATACTATACATAATACATATTGATTGCGGATGTTTTACAGGCCCAGTATGAGAACCCGCCCCATGTGTATGCGCTGGCTGACAATATGTACAGGAACATGTTAATAGACATGGAAAACCAGTGTGTCATCATCAGGTCAGTATAAAGTATAGGTCAAGGTCACACTGTACAGGTCAAGTTCACACAGTACAGATCAATGTTACACAGTACAGATCGATATCACACGGTGTAGGTCAAGGTCACACAGTACAGGTAAAGATCACACAGTAAAGGTCAATGTCACACAGTGCAGGTCAAGGTCACACTGTACTGGTCAAGTTCACACAGTACAGGTCAACGTTATACAGTGCAGGTCAACATCACACAGTACAGGTCAAGGTCACACTGTACATGTCAAGGTCACACTGTACAGATCAACATCACACATTGCAGGTCAAGGTCACACAGTACAGGTCAATATCACATAGTGCAGGTCAAGGTCACACAGTACAGGTCAATATCACATAGTGCAGGTCAAGGTCACACAGTACAGGTCAACATCACACAGTGCAGGTCAACGTCACACAGTGCAGGTCAAGGTCACACTGTACATGTCAAGGTCACACAGTACAGATCAACGTCACACAGTGCAGGTCAAGGTCACACAGTACAGGTCAATATCACATAGTGCAGGTCAAGGTCACACAGTACAGGTCAATATCACATAGTGCAGGTTAAGGTCACATAGTACAAGCCATGGTTAATACACAACACTAGTCAAGGTCACACATTGCTGAGTACGGTCACATGCATAATCATCTTTGCAGTACATGTTAGGGTCAAACAGTACTGACTGGCTGCATAAGATAAAGGCCATGGGGACACTACATATTAAGGTCAGAGAGGAAGGATCTTGGCCATATCAATAGATGTCAAGGTCACACAGAAGAGGTCGGAGGCACATACAAAACATGTCAACATGGTGTAATTTTCCCAGTGGCTCATGTCTTATTTATCCTATTCTACATAACATTGTTACATAACAATATTAAAGGCTTGGTTTGTTTTGAACACAAACAGGAATTGAAAATTTATTTTGCGAGCTCAAACATACTTAGCTTTACATAACATTGTATTTGCTATTTAATACATACATGCACAAGTGCAAGATTGCTTCTTGTTCCAGAAATGAAGTCGTAATGAAATATATGGTTAAGTTAAACCTGTAAGGATACAATTTCTAGTAAACAGATCTAGGCAGCGTAAAGTTATAGAAGTATCGAAATGTGTAAGGTTCTAGAAATGTCAGCAATTCTCTTTGTAAGTTAATATAAGTAAAGATTCTTAATGTTTTACATGTAGAAGACAAAAAAATATTAATTATTTTGTCATATATTTATCTTTGATCTTAATTTGCAGTGGAGAGAGTGGTGCTGGAAAAACAGTAGCGGCCAAGTATATAATGGGTTTCATCGCAAAAGTGTCAGGTGGAGGGGAAAAAGTACAGGTACGTAATACACCCTGCACCATCTCATAGTGGTGTCAGGTGGAGGGGAACAAGTACAGGTACATAATACACCCCACACCATCCCATAGTGGTGTAAGGTGGAGGGGAAAAAGAACAGGGACATAATACACCCCACACCATCCCATAGTGGTGTAAGGTGGAGGGGAAAAAGAACAGGGACATAATACACCCCACACCATCCCATAGTGGTGTCAGGTGGAGGCGAAAAAGTACAGGTACGTAATACACCCCACACCATACCATAGTGGTGTCAGGTGGAGGGGAAAAAGTATAGGTACATAATACACCCAGCACCATCTGATAGTGGTGTCAGGTGGAGGGGAAAAAGTACAGGTACGTAATACACCCTGCACCATCTCATAGTGGTGTCAGGTGGAGGGGAAGAAGTATAGGTACATAATACACCCTGCACCATCTCATAGTGGTGTAAGGTGGAGGGGAAAAAGTATAGGTACATAATACACCCAGCACCAAAAAGTGTCAGGTGGAGGTGAAAAAGTACAGGTACGTAATACGCCCCGCACCATCCCATAGTGGTGTAAGGTGGAGGTGAAAAAGTACAGGTACATAATACTCCCCGCACCATCCCATAGTGGTGTAAGGTGGAGGTGAAAAAGTACAGGTACATAATACACCCCGCACCATCTCATAGTGGTGTAAGGAAGACAAAAAAATATTAATTATTTTGTCATATATTTATCTTTGATCTTAATTTGCAGTGGAGAGAGTGGTGCTGCAAAAACAGTAGCGGCCAAGTATATAATGGGTTTCATCGCAAAAGTGTCAGGTGGAGGCGAAAAAGTACAGGTACGTAATACACCCCACACCATCCCATAGGGGTGTCAGGTGGAGGGGAAAAAGTATAGGTACATAATACACCCTGCCCCATCCCATAGTGGTGTAAGGTGGAGGGGGAAAAGTATAGGTATGTAATACACCCCTCACCATCCCATAGTGGTGTAAGGTGGAGGGGGAAAAGTATAGGTATGTAATACACCCCTCACCATCCCATAGTGGTGTAAGGTGGAGGGGGAAAAGTATAGGTATGTAATACACCCCGCACCATATCATAGTGGTGTCAGGTGGAGGGGAAAAAATACAGGTACATAATACACCCTGCACCATCCCATAGTGGTGTAAGGTGGAGGGGAAAAAGTACAGGTACATAATACACCCCGCACCATCTCATAGTGGTGTCAGGTGGAGGAGAAAAAGTACAGGTACATAATACACCCCGCACCATCTCATAGTGGTGTCAGGTGGAGGAGAAAAAGTACAGGTACATAATACACCTTGCACCATCTCATAGTGGTGTAAGGTGGAGGGGAAAAAGTATAGGTACATAATACACCCAGCACCATCTGATAGTGGTGTCAGGTGGAGGGGAAAAAGTACAGGTACGTAATACACCCCTGCACCATCCCATAGTGGTGTCAGGTAGAGGAGAAAAAGTACAGGTACATAATACACCCTGCACTATCTCATAGTGGGGTCAGGTGGAAGGTAAAAAGTACAGATACATAATACACCCAGCACCATCTGATAGTGGTGTCAGGTGGAGGGGAAAAAGTACAGGTTCGTAATACACCCTGCACCATCCCATAGTGGTGTAAGGTAGAGGGGAAAAAGTACAGGTACATAATCTCATAGTGGGGTCAGGTGGAAGGTAAAAAGTACAGATACATAATACACCCAGCACCATCTGATAATGGTGTCAGGTGGAGGGGAAAAAGTACAGGTTCTTATTACACCCCGCACCATCTCATAGTGGTGTAAGGTGGAGGGGAAAAAGTATAGGTACATAATACACCCTGCACCATCTCATAGTGGTGTAAGGTGGAGGGGAAAAAGTACAGGTACGTAATACCCCCCTGCACCATCCCATAGTGGTGTCAGGTAGAGGAGAAAAAGTACAGGTACATAATACACCCTGCACCATCTCATAGTGATGTCAGGTGGAGGGGAAAAAGTATAGGTACGTAATGCACCCTGCACCATCCCATAGTGGTGTAAGGTGGAGGGGGAAAGTATAGGTATGTAATACACCCCGCACCATATAGTGGTGTCAGGTGGAGGGGAAGAAGTATAGGTACGTAATACACATCACACCATCCCATAGTGGTGTCAGGTGGAGGGGAAAAAGTACAGGTTCGTAATACACCCTGCACCATCCCATAGTGGTGTAAGGTGGAGGGGGAAAGTATAGGTATGTAATACACCCCGCACCATATAGTGGTGTCAGGTGGAGGGGAAGAAGTAAAGGTACGTAATACACATCACACCATCCCATAGTGGTGTCAGGTGGGGGGGAAAAAGTACAGGTACATAATACACCACGCACCATCCCGTAGTGGTGTCGGGGGGAGGGGAAAAAGTACAGGTACATAATACCCCCCGCACCATCCCGTAGTGGTGTCGGGTGGAGGGGAAAAAGTACAGGTACATAATACACCCCGCACCATCCCGTAGTGGTGTCGGGTGGAGGGGAAAAAGTACAGGTACATAATACACCCCGCACCATCCCGTAGTGGTGTCGGGGGGAGGGGAAAAAGTACAGGAACGCAATAAACCCCGCACCATCCCATAGTGGTGTTAGGTGGAGGGGAAAAAGGACAGGTACATAATACACCCCGCCCCATCCCGTAGTGGTGTCAGGTGGAGGGGAAAAAGTATAGGTACATAATACACCCCACACCATCCCATAGTGGTGTCAGGTGGAGGGGGAAAAAGTATAGGTACGTAATACACCCCGCACCATCCCATAGGGGTGTCAGGTGGAGGGGAAAAAGTACAGGTACATAATACTCCCCGCACCATCCCATAGTGGTGTAAGGTGGAGGGGAAAAAGTACAGGTACATAATACACCCCACACCATATCATAGTGGTGTCAGGTGGAAGGGAATAAGTACAGGTACGTAATACACCCTGCACCATCTCATAGTGGTGTCAGGTGGAGGGGAAAAAGTATAGGTACGCAATACACCCCACACCATCCCATAGGGGGGTCAGGTGGAGGGGAAAAAGGACAGGTACATAATACACCCCGCACCCTCCCATAGTGGTGTCAGGGGGAGGGGGAAAAGGACAGGGACATAATACACCCTGCACCAACTCATAGTGGTGTCAGGAGGAGGGGAAAAAGGACAGGTACATAATACACCCCACTCCATATCATAGTGGTGTCAGGGGGAGGGGGAAAAGGACAGGGACATAATACACCCTGCACCACCTCCTAGTGGTGTCAGGTGGAGGGGAAAAAGTATAGGTACGTAATACACCCCTGCACCATCCCATAGTGGTGTCAGGTAGAGGGGAAAAAGTACAGGTACATAATACACCCTGCACCACCTCATAGTGGTGTCAGGTGGAGGGGAAAAAGTACAGGTACATAATACACCCAGCACCATCTCATAGTGGTGTCAGGTGGAAGTCAGTACAGTCATTTTTCTACCTCAAATATTGTTGTGATCAGAAACATTTCATTTCATTGAATTTCTTTTAATTGAATAATAATGGACTAAGGCTAAAGCCTCTAGGTCTATATAAACAAATATTTAACAATTAATTTGAAGGAGTGTCAATAACAGCATGAATTACTATTTCTATTTTACAGAGAGTGAAAGATGTTATCTTAGAATCCAATCCATTGTTAGAGGCTTTTGGGAATGCCAAGACTGTCCGCAACAACAACTCCAGTCGATTTGTAAGTATAGGATGTGTCATCAGCAATCAAACATGCACACGTACAAGTCTGTCACCGGACATAAACAAGCAAACGTGATGTTACTCTTTCAGTTTCACAGTATCATAGGGTTCTACACAGTTTGCTAAACTGTTTTGTTGGTATTTCAGGGGAAATATGTAGAAATCCAGTTCAGCAGAGGAGGAGAGCCAGACGGTGGTAAAATATCAAACTTCCTCCTGGAGAAGGTATGTACACCTTAATTAGGGGTGTTTTAACCATCCTAAAGATAAAATGGCCAGCTTGAATATTTTATCTATTTAAAATTGTTTTAAAATGTTATTGTTGTTTTGTTTGGTATCAAATGCTGCATTTCTTAAAAAACGTTTCTTGAATGTTATTGTCAGTTTGTTTGGTATTCTGTAGAGGCGCATGATGCCAACTCATTGTCCAGTACATGTTTAGGGAATATTCAGGGCTAGACAATAAGGGTAGTCTGACAGTCAGAGACTAGTGACACAGGGCTAGCCAATAAGGGTAGTCTGACAGTCAGTGACTAGTGACACAGGGCTAGACAATAAGTGTAGTCTGATAGGCTGAGACTAGTGACACAAGGCTAGACAATAAGGGTAGTCTGACAGTCATAGACTAGTGACTCAGGGCTAGACAATAAGGGTAGTCTGATAGGCTGAGCCTAGTGACACAGGGCTAGACAATAAGGGTAGTCCGACAGTCTGAGACTAGTGACACAGGGCTAGGCAATAAGGGTAGTCTGATAGTCTGAGACTAGTGTCACAGGGCTAGACAATAAGGGGAGTCTGACAGTCTGAGACTAGTGACACAGAGCTAGACAATAAGGGTAGTCTGACAGTCTGAGACTAGGGACACAGGGCTAGACAATAAGGGTAGTCTCACAGTCTGAGACGAGTGACACAGGGCTAGACAATAAGGGTAGTCCGACAGTCTGAGACTAGTGACACAGGGCTAGGCAATAAGGGTAGTCTGATAGTCTGAGACTAGTGAAACAGGGCTAGCAAATAAGGGTAGTCTGATAGGCTGAGACTAGTGACACAAGGCTAGACAATAAGGGTAGTCTGACAGTCAGTGACTAGTGACACAGGGCTAGACAATAAGTGTAGTCTGATAGGCTGAGACTAGTGACACAAGGCTAGACAATAAGGGTAGTCTGACAGTCAGAGCCTTGTGACACAGGACTAGACAATAAGGGTAGTCTGACAGTCTGATACTAGTGACACAGGGCTAGACAATAAGGGGAGTCTGACAGTCTGAGACTAGTGACACAGAGCTAGACAATAAGGGTAGTCTGACAGTCTGATACTAGTGACACAGGGCTAGACAATAAGGGTAGGCTGACAGTCTGAGACTAGTGACACAGGGCTAGGCAATAAGGGTAGTCTGATAGTCTGAGACTAGTGTCACAGGGCTAGACAATAAGGGGAGTCTGACAGTCTGAGACTAGTGACACAGAGCTAGACAATAAGGGTAGTCTGACAGTCTGAGACTAGGGACACAGGGCTAGACAATAAGGGTAGTCTCACAGTCTGAGACGAGTGACACAGGGCTAGACAATAAGGGTAGGCTGACAGTCTGAGACTAGTGACACAGGGCTAGATAATAAGGGTAGTCTGACAGTCTGAGACTAGTGACACAGGACTAGACAATAAGGGTAGTCTGATAGTCTGAGACTAGTGTCACAGGGCTAGACAATAAGGGGAGTCTGACAGTCTGAGACTAGTGACACAGAGCTAGACAATAAGGGTAGTCTGACAGTCTGATACTAGTGACACAGGGCTAGACAATAAGGGTAATCTGACAGTCTGAGACTAGTGACACAGGGCTAGATAATAAGGGTAGTCTGACAGTCTAAGACTAGTGACACAGGGCTAGACAATAAGGCTAGTCTGATAGGCTGAGACTAGTGACACAAGGCTAGACAATAAGGGTAGTCTGACAGTCAGAGACTAGTGACTCAGGGCTAGACAATAAGGGTAGTCTGACAGTCATAGACTAGTGACACAGGGCTAGACAATAAGGATAGCCTGATAGTCTGAGACTAGCGACACAGGGTTAGACAATAAGGATAGCCTGATAGTCTGAGACTAGCGACACAGGGTTAGACAATAAGGATAGCCTGATAGTCTGAGACTAGTGACACAGGGTTAGACAATAAGGATAGCCTGATAGTCAGAGACTAGTGACACAGGGCTAGACAATAAGGGTAGTCTGATAGTCTGAGACTAGTGAAATTTCCAGCTCGACTAGTGGTTCTTAAAACCGCCACCAAACAAGTCAAAATGTTATATTGCTTATCTTGTTGAATAATATTGGGGTTTTGTCCGGTTAGTGGAATTTGCACATGGACTAGTAAAAATTGGAATCTACTACCCCAATTGACTAGTGGTATTTAAAATAAAGTTCTAGCCCTGCCCTGATATTGTGGTCATTGTTTCAATGTCCACAGACACGTGTGGTCAGCCAGAACAGCAACGAGAGGAACTTCCATGTGTTCTACCAGATTTGTGCCGGGGCAGATGCAGCTCAGAAGGGTATGCAACCATCAGAATTCTAATGTTCTTGATGGTTTTAAGCCCAAGTCACATTTATACAAAAAGGCTACTTCGGTGTCCCTCCCACATTAAGACCCCCTGGGCCCTACCATCTGGGCCAACAAGAGTGATTAATAGTTGTTGTAGAATAACTGAACTTAAATTTTGAATTCTCAAAAAATAGTGTTTTTTGAGAATTATGTATTTTATTGTTCAAATTTATCTTAACGTGTTATTCCAAAAACAACATTAACGGTTTCGTCACTATGAAACTTTAGTATGCTCTACCATGCATTGATATGGTTGAGCCCATTATGGTTTACAGTGTTGAAAGGGTTAAACCATAATTATTGTCTCTATAGCCTTGAGATTTATGAAATGTTTTAATTTCACATACTTCCTATTAAACGAACACTTGAATAAGATCCTTTATGCATGATATTTAATTCAAGTATTCATTAAAATGTAATACATTTTTTGTATTTCATTATGCTGACCTTATCTCTGTATTACAGAGAGTCTTGGTCTCACCACACCCGATTATTATATGTACCTCAACCAGAGTGGTACCTACACCGTAGACGGTACCGACGATGTGGCCGAGTACAGGGACACCATGGTAAGGTCAAGGTCATTAAAAGTACATCATCATCATCACAGGGTCAAGGTCATGTCATGTACATCATTAGCATTAGAACAAAATGTAATGGTAAAGGACTAGGGGCGTTTCGGGTCATTTCCGACCACATCAGATATTTATGTTTAGGTGTCATACTCGTTATCTGGAATAAATGAAATACACAATTTATGAAATTTCAAATGTATTCGACAACTGGTTTAGGAGATATGGCAGTACAAAGAGAGAAATAAACGCACATTTTCATGATACTGTACGTGAATATCGTCTGTTGTGCTTTATTTGGTTGAAAATTGGCCACTTTGAAGGAAATTAACTAAACAATCTTTAATTTTCGAAAGCCTTCGCATGCAACAAACAAATAAATATTTGACATGATTAAACAATGTCATATAAGAGTTCATTCTTAAAAAGGAACTTTTGTTCGTCACATGCAGAGGCTTTCATTTCTGCATGTTAACTGTCCAAAAACACCATATTTCAAGGTCAAGGTCACTGATAATATTATGGGTACATTTTAACTGGATAGTGTAGGATCCTGGTTTATGTCGCCATGTAAATGTCAAGATATCAGGATTCATTCAGGAAGATGTGTTCAGTTGATATACTACATAACCGTAGTTATCTACATAATAAAGTAATATTAGTGACTTGGACTTTCATATATACAGGGTCACTTCAGAAAGAAATTAATTATTCTTCATCACCATTTGGATTACATTTTTTTGCCAATTGTTTACTGAATTCAAAACCAGCTGGTGAAATTGGTGGTGAAATCCATCCAACCATGTGGTTATTCTGAGGGTGAGAGAACAATTGTTGTAAGAAGAGGCATGCTCAGATGTCTTGTATTCAATGTTCTGTTGCAATTCTAACCTTACTTGGTAAGGGAGACAGGAGTTTTGATACATCTGTTAGGTCTTGCCAGGTTGCAAGTAGTTACTTGGCCTATGATCTTCCTATGTGAGCCATTCATTGTCTATCGGGGAAACCAGTCTCTTTAAAAATCTTCAGATTTATCTAAATGAATTGGAGTCCGTTTTGAATTTGTTTTCAGCATGCCATGGCGACAGTAGGCGTTTCAGATGAGAACATAGAGGACGTGCTGATGGTAGTGGCGGGTATACTTCACCTAGGGAACATCGCCTTTCAAGAGGATGGAAACTACGCCAAAGTAGCGAACGAAGATTGTAAGTCAACAACAGGATAAAGGATACAAGGGAAAGAGGACGTGTTAAAGGTTTTATATCACATTACTGTGACTTATGGACTTTAGACTAAGTTCTACCTTACTTTGACATCCTATTAAGACTGAAGGATACGTACATGTGCTGCCCTACTGTGACATGGAGACTACAAAGATGTATGTACCTTATTGTGACGTAGATATTAATTAAAGTCTACATGCTACCTTACTCTGATATGGAGACTAAAGAATGTATTCTGACTTACTGTAACATGGAGATTTAAGACTATATGCAACCTTACTGTAACATGGAGATTTAAGACTATATGCGACCTTACTGTAACATGGAGATTTAAGACTATACGCTGCCTTACTGTGACATGGAAATTTGAGACCATACGCTGCCTAAGCCTTACTGTAACATGGAGATTTAAGACTATACACTGCCTTACTGTAACATGGGGATTTAAGACCATACGCTGCCTTACTATAACATGGAGATTTAAGACCATACGCTGCCTAAGCCTTTCTGTAACATGGAGATTTAAGACCATACACTGCCTTACTATAACATGGAGATTTAAGACCATACGCTGCCTAAGCCTTACTGTAACATGGAGATTTACGACTATACGCTGCCTTAATGTGACATGGAAATTTAAGACCATACGCTGCATAAGCCTTACTGTAACATGGAGATTTAAGACTATTCACTGCCTTACTGTTACATGGAGATTTAAGACCAGACGCTGCCTTACTATAACATGGAGATTTAAGACCATACGCTGCCTAAGCCTAACTATAACATGGAGATTTAAGACTATATGCAACCTTACTGTAACATGGAGATTTAAGACTATACTCTGCCTTACTGTGACATGGAAATTTAAGACCATACGCTGCATAAGCCTTACTGTAACATGGAGATTTAAGACTATATGCAACCTTACTGTAACATGGAGATTTAAGACTATATGCAACCTTACTGTAACATGGAGATTTAAGACCATACGCTGCCTTACTGTGACATGGAAATTTAAAACCATACGCTGCCTAAGCCTTACTGTAACATGGAGATTTAAGACTATACACTGCCTTACTGTTACATGGAGATTTAAGACCATACGCTGCCTTACTATAACATGGAGATTTAAGACCATACGCTGCCTAAGCCTTACTGTAACATGGAGATTTACGACTATACGCTGCCTTAATGTGACATGGAAATTTAAGACCATACGCTGCCTAGGCCTTACTGTAACATGGAGATTTAAGACTATACGCTGCCTTACTGTAACATGGGGATTTAAGACCATACGCTGCCTAAGCCTTACTATAACATGGAGATTTAAGACCATATGCAACCTTACTGTAACATGGAGATTTAAGACTATATGCGACCTTACTGTAACATGGAGACTTAAGACTATATGCGACCTTACTGTAACAACTCCGTTCTAAAAGAGTTCTATTATAACTAACATATAAAATATCTTTCATGAATGTTGATTTGACCTTTGGTTAATTCAAAATGTTCACATAATACAGTTGGTATCATCAATGTAATTCTTAAATTGTTCTCTACAGTTCTTGACTACCCGTCATACCTGCTTGGAGTGGACAAGGAGTACCTCAGGACGAAACTGACCAGTCGAGACATGGACAGTAAGTGGGGCGGCAAGACCGAGCTCATCCATGTGACTTTGAACGTCGAGCAGGCGGAGTTTTCGCGCGATGCCCTGGCTAAGGCGCTGTACAGTCGTATGTTTGACTACCTTGTAGAGGTAAGGGATACAGTCACTATTGAGAAAGTGGAAATGCTTTGTGTGCATACATTTTCAGGTTTTGTCTCGTCAAGCTGCTAGTGGTGTGGACATTTTTGCTGCTGGCAGACATATTTCATGTCATAGGACATATTATGACATATGCATATTCGCATATTCCGATTGAAATGGTTCAGATGGTGCAGAAATATTTCACGATGCGCACTTGGACTGAACTGTAGATAGAGTTAATGCACAGTTTTGGAGAATAAATAACAATATATCAAGAATGATATGTCCTTTCACTCGTTCACTAAATTCAATAACATGTCTTAAAATCTATATGTGTAAAAACCTTGTTTTATAAAGAAATAGCACAAAGTAGCAATAGTCAGCATTTCAGTTTCGGTCAGGCCTGTCTGCATGGACCCCTCAATCTACACATGCCAAATATTCCTGAAGTCAGCCTTGCTTCAGATCTGCACCTGTCGTTTTTTTCAGGTTCAACCTTTTCAACCGGTTGAACCGGTTACGTGAAAGGGCCTTGACAAAAATGTCCTTTGTGTGAGTTTCAGTGCAGATGTAACTTACTGTTGACATTCGTTATTATGAATGGGGATGTATGTTAAATACCCCTTTTTATCAGCTAATTTGCAGTCCCCTGGCAGTTAATTTTGACACTTATACTCTTTTGAACAGTACCAACATGTTTTGAAGTTTGTTATTGGTTGAAAGACCATGACATAGTGAATTTGGATTGCCATGAAAGCTTGTAAAAACACTGGCTTAATGGTTGATATGTCCATGCTCTGGTATCTCTTAATTTTTAAGAAACGTTTATTTCATCAATCCTGTCAAACGGTTAACCTTTCTGCAAATTATGTTTCTGAGGTTCAATCACTGTTCTAAGTAGGTGATTTCTTTACAACAGATGTAGTTGATATTTCTTTATTGAGAAAACAGTTCTTAATCCTGTTTTAAGACTGTTTACCCTCTCACCCCTTTTTAACTTTAATAACCTCTACCATAACTTGATCTGGATGAGTCCATTATATGGTATACAGTTTTAAAAGTGTTAAACAGCCCCATTCCAAGCTGGAAATAGATATGGTGATTTGTTTGTTATTGGAGGGGTACTTTTACTGTGCTAAACTTGCTGTTTGTTGTTTGTGTTTCAGGCAGTGAACCGTGCCATGAGGAAAGACAAAGAGGAGATCAACATTGGAATCCTCGACATTTATGGGTTCGAAATTTTTGAGAAAAACGGATTTGAGCAGTTTTGTATTAACTATGTCAACGAAAAACTACAGCAGATTTTTATAGAGCTTACACTGAAGGCTGAACAGGTGGGTCAACAACATCTCAAAATCAACCAGGGAAATCTCTTAAGTAGTATGAGGTTGTAGCGTGTGAAGGGTTACTGTATAAGAGATATTTGCCTACGTGTTATATTTATAGATTCACTTTATCAGAATAAAATTTATGGGATAAAAAGATTCCTCGATATATTACTTATTCTTGGCTTTCATATTTATCCCTCTTTTGTTCGTTGATTTCAAACGTTATAAAAAAAACTCTTGCCAAAGCATGGATGTCTTGTTTAAAGTTCAAAATTTAGCAACTTGTGAGATAAATAATGAAAGCAACTGTCACTCATTGCAAATATTCTATATGACCAATGTATTATAACTTAAACATTTCAGGAGGAGTATGTACAAGAAGGTATCAAGTGGACACCTATCGAATACTTCAACAACAAGGTGGTGTGTGATGTCATAGAGAGTAAGCAGCCACCCGGCATCATGTGCATCCTTGACGACGTGTGTGCCACCATGCATGCCGTGTCGGAGGGAGCGGACAGTAATCTGTTACAGGTAAATTACTGGAAGGAATCGGCTATTAGCTTTTTGAGGCCATACTTGCAGCTATTGATATCAAATTAACTCATTCAGCCCCAAAATTTCGTAATGAACTAATCTAACCTTTGAACTGGAGGTGTTCAAATGTGTCATCAGGGGTGAATGAGTTGAATATTTATGAACTCTGAATTTGTTTGATAATTTTATGGTATAAGAAAGATTTTAAATGATTTCTGAATAAAAAGTGAACGAATGTGTTTTGACCTAACAATTGATTGTTTGGTTTGACTTGGATATTGTAAGGAATGAAATATCAGAGGAAAATTGTGAATTATTAGATTGATATCTAAAAAATACAGAACGAAGAATTCAATGTTTTCTTTTTTCCTGTAGAAATTGGGAGCTGGTATTGGGTCACATGACCACTACCAGGGTAGTGGTATGGGCTTCATCATCCATCACTACGCTGGCAAGGTAAGCGTGGGAGTCGGGCTCAACAGTCGGGGTATAAAATGGTAGTTTGATTTAAAAAAGTTTTCCACAGATCTTGTGAATCTTCATAATTAGGGCTACCAAAAAATGTTAGAGCATTAATCTTGAAAAAAGGAAAATTGTAAATTTTAAATTCAGAGATTTTTTTCTGACAATCAGAAAATGGCCTCATTCTTGAATGACTGTAATATTCAAAGAGTAGTAAATCTTTGTATGTTTTTATCTGTTTATGATGTAATGGAAAACTTTAATTTAGTCAAAGCCAAGATAAAGGATTTTTTAAAAAGAATTTTCACATTTCATATATGACTTAAAAAGATTGTTTCTCCTTGTTTATAACTAAAACCATCTGTCTTTGTAAAGGTAACATATGATGTGGATGGATTCTGTGAACGGAACAGAGATGTTTTATTCAAAGATCTCGTACAGCTGCTGCAGTCAAGTAACAAGTAAGTTTATAAGTCTAAACATATAGACTGCAGTTTTATGGGGGAAAAAAGAAACGAAGGAATTAGTAATAATCTGTAAAAATATACAAAACACTATATACAGTATTATAGAGGCGTCACGATTCACGGGGATACACTTGTTCCGCGATTATTTAAGCTCGATTTGATTCACGATATATTTTTCTGGATTTTTGATACGTCATGATCTGAATATAAGTGTATGCCGCTTCAGCCGAAACGTCTGTGAGACGTTCAATTTCATGGCTGAGGTCTAAACCCTCCACCAATCGGCTGCGAGGATGCAATTTTCACTACAAAGCATTCATAACAAAATGGCGGACCGCCGTAAGGAAATGGAAATTTGTGATGCTCCCGCAAGCTTCATATCAAAAGTGTGGAAACACTGCGGGTTTCCGTGTATCGACAGCTTGTACATCTCATTTTGTTTATATTTTGAAATAAAGGTGTATCAAATTGAAATAATCAATCGTGGTACAAATATCTAGATACGTATCGAATCGTGGGTAAAGTGTATCGTGATAGCTCTATACAGTAACAAGTTATTAATGAATTAAACATGTGTATGTGTACAAGAAATAATTTATTTTCATAAGGAGGTGCACATTGTAGTATATGATAGGAATTGTCTCCCTTGAAGTGTTTCCTACTTGTCTCTTGACTAGTGATGGGAAATAGATCAATTGATTCATAAAAATATGACACATCTTTGTCATGTATGACTCAGTTATTAAAGTATAAATGAAGTTCAGATATGTTACAATATGTCAAGAATTGAAGTGTGTTCCTATGTAATCACATAACCAGCCTTAACCTTGACCTTTGGGGATATATGTCCGAGTAAAAAACAGGCGTTGAAGACGATGATGTTTGTTTCAGTGATTACATCAGAGGTCTCTTTCCGGAGGATGTCAGTAAACAAACCAAAGGTCGTTCCAGTACAGCTAGCACAAAGATAAAGGTACAGAATCTGCCTACTATAATACAGGATATGTTTGTCATATATAACATTCGTTGATTTCGTAGAGGCGACAGAAGCACGAACATAAATGCTACAAATTTAATTGATAAACTTGACTACTCTTTGTTTATATGGGGGTATCAACGAAAGTGTGTACCACAAAACGTTCTTAATGGCGAAAGAAAATACCCACGAATATTTCATGTTATACAGGTCATTGTACAACACTTCTCACTAATCATGCAGCCACAATTATTCTGGTTGTCTCCCCCCTATCGTGCCACTGTGATTGGTGACAAAAATCTTCCTTTTTCTGTTATGACGTATCTGACTTGTATTCAAGCTAGTGAATCAGAGAATGGAGTTGACTGGATTGGCGGACCTCCATTGTACATACATAGAACCTGTCATTTTGGTTTCTATCGCTACAAGTTATGTTTGGAATCAGAATTTTATGTCCAAAACAGTACAAAAATTGAATTGTCTTATTGAAAATCAGTCATGCTCATTGGTTTATATAATATTGTACAGTTATATTAATTTATATTTAAGTCAGCATATTTGGACTGATAATGGAACTAGGGATGATTCTCTACTAGACAAACATTTAAAATTACCATGATGAGTTGTTTTATTTTAGTCTCAAGCCAATAAGCTGGTGGAAACCCTGATGAAATGTACGCCTCATTATATTCGATGCATCAAACCAAATGAAACTAAAAGGCCCAGGGACTTTGAAGATAGCAGGTCGGTACAACAACATCCTACAATTATTTACAATTATAACAGATAATTAGGGTCCCGTATCGGAGATACGGGTGCCCTATAGTAATCACTCTGTCTGTCTGTCTGTCTGTCTGTCTGTCCGTCCACATATTTTGTTCCTGGCTGATAACTTTGGTATTTATTGACTGATGTACATGAAACTTGGTCAAGATGTTCAGTTCATAAAAATACACATCTAGGTAAAAAGTCAAGGTCAAAGGTCAAGGTAATTAGGTTCAAAGGTCAAGGTCAAATTTTACATCTTTTCACCGATGAACATTTTGTGATGACATTATGAAGCAAAGTTGATCAGAATTAAACACGGAGTCAACTGACCAAAGGTCAAGGTCATCGGGTCAGGGGTCAAGGTCAAATTTTGTAGCTTTTCACTAGTGAACATTTCGCTATGACATTATGAAGCAAAGTTGTTCGGAATTAAACAAAGAGACACACTGAGGTAAAAAATTGAGGTCAAAGGTCAAGGTCATGATATTCAAAGGTCAAGGTCAAATTTTGCATCTTGTCACTGATGAACATTTTGTTATGACACGATGAAGCAAAGTTGATCAGAATTAAACAACGAGTCAACTGACCAAAGGTCAAAGTCATTGGGTCAAAGGTCAAGGTTACATTTTGTATATTTTCGCTGGTGAACATTTCGCTATGACACTTTGAAGCAATGTTGCTCAGAATTAAACAAGGAGTCAATTGATCAAAGGTCAAGGTCACTTGGTCAAAGGTCAAGGTTAAAATTTTGTACCTTTTCCCTGATGAACATTTTGTTATAACATTACGAAGCAATGTTGTTCAGAACTTCACACAGAGTCAACTGACCTTAGTTCCAGGTTACTGGGTCCAAAGGGTCAAGTTCAAGTTTTGTATTTTTCACTGATGAACATTTTGTTATGATATTAAAAAGCAAAGTTGGTCGGAATTAAAGAATAAGTCAACTGACCAAAGATCAGGGTCACTGGATTAATGGTCAAGGTCATTTGGGTCCAAAGGTCAAAGACAAAGTGGATCTCTGACTTTGACCCCGGCTCTCGATGGAGAAGGTATATAAAGTGAAATAAAACAAATCAAAGCTAACAAATGAGTATTGCACCGGTAATCACATTTCTGTTAGCCCAGCAAATATGGAGGTGGAAGGAAACACATCACATCATAGTACATGTAAAATGTATATTTTGCTTCCTTGCGATTCTTTTTGAAGTCCAAATGTCAAGTTAAGCTCAGCTATATGGGCAGATTGTTTCTTGATGATTATGGGGGATATAATTGCCACAAGACGGGGCCCTTACTGACCTGTCAGTGTTCTAGTTATTATAATTATTAAAAGATGCAGTTTAACTCATTCACCCCTGAAGACACATTTGAACCCTTTCAGTTCAAAGGGTGGAATAGTTCATTATGAAATTTCAGGGGTGAATGAGTTTAAAAGGACAAATAGGTGAAGTAAACAAATATTTCATTAAATACAACTTTTAAAATGAATTGATACCCCGTTAGCCATGCTACTGTTTGCTTATTGCTTCATTTTGGATAGCATACATTGAAACATAATTGTTTCAGTGTATGTTGTTGTTATCATTGTTGCAAGGATGGGTTGTAAATGTAACATTTGTAAACCAATGAAATTAGTACATTCTAGGTAGAGGGGTTATAATAGATTTTGTCCGTCTTTGAATGACCTTGCGTAACAAAAATACCCTTCTTTCAAGGATCTCTGTATCACTGCCAAAAGCTATAAATAAGTATTAGAAACTGTTTTTTCTTGAATAACTTTGGCTGTGATAAATCATTTCTGAAAAAAAACCCATGCCTTACAGGATTTTTATGAAAAAAATAAAGACGATATAAAAAAATTAAAAAATAACAAGAGTGTTCTGGTTTTTAAAAATATCAGCGGGGTTAAAGTGGGATTCAAACTCTGGACTTATTGTTATACTATCGCTGTAACTGATTGAGCTATCTGGTCAACTAAAGTGTACTTGCACAAATGTGCTACAGTTATTTCTAGATGGAAGTTAAGGGGAGTTTACTGTGTATAGGAAAAACGACAGTGCAGTGGGACAAGGATTATAAACTGAGTTATAAACCCCAACCTTCCTTGTTTTATGCAGAGTGAAACATCAAGTAGAATATCTGGGACTGAAGGAGAATATACGAGTACGAAGAGCTGGTTTTGCATACAGAAGGGAGTTTTCAAAGTTTTTACGAAGGTAAGAAAATGTTTCCTTAAATAGTTTTATCTTTTAATTGAAATACTGTGTAATGATTAGTTTTTGCGCTTTTCTATTTCCCTCCCTAACAATTATGGATTTATTTTCACGACAAAATTTCAGGTACGCCATCTTGACGTCAGAAACGTGGCCAACCTGGCGAGGGGATCCCAGACAAGGAATCAAGCATCTCATGGACACAGTCAACATGGACAAGGACCAATGGCAGCTCGGCAAAACCAAAGTCTTCGTCAAAAACCCAGAATCTGTAAGTCTGAATTTCTGTTTATCCGGGCAGTGGTGATCAGAAAGAACCTTTTTTTATGTGTAATTTGTTTGAAAGTAATTTTCCGATGTTATTGTAAATAAAAAGATAACAAATATAAAACTTTCCACCCCAGCCTTTAATTAACTCATTCAACCCTGAAATTTCATAATGAGCTATTCCAACTTCATGTGTGTCTTCGAGGGTGAATTAATTAGGTTTGATAAGAGATCTGAAAGGTTAAGGTGTACTTGCATAATTGAAACTTGTAATGAACATATACTTGATCATATACATTTGTGTTACAGCTATTTTTACTGGAAGAAATGAGAGAGAGGAAGTTTGATCACTATGCCCGGAAGATACAGAAGGCATTTCGTCGCTATCATGCCCGCAAAACCTACTTCAAACTGCGAGAGGAAGGTAAATAATCTGGATTGTTTTTTTGTTTTTTTTGATGTCCTTGTACATGTTTATGAAGATAAAACAATCTATAAATTGACGTTGTTTTAAATCTTTCTACCACACTGTTGCTGTTTAGTTTTCAATATGAAGTCACTCAAAAGAATGGAAGAAAGACTTTGACAATTTCTTTGCAGTTATTTGTATGCTATTGTTACATTACAGCTTCAGACATCCTCTTCCAGAAGAAGGAGAGGCGGCGCTTCAGTTTGAACAGAAACTTTGTAGGAGACTACCTTGGCCTGGACGATCACCCTGGCGTCAGGGCGCTTCTAGGGAAACGGGAGCGAGTGGAATTTGCAGATACTGTGCTTAAGTTTGACAGACGCTTTAAGGTAAAGCTTGATGCTTTAAAATGTGCCTATGACACATATACTTCAGTTTGAACAGAAGCTTTGACCAGGACAGGCAATCGCTCTTCATTCAAATTCAAACAATATGAATAAGAACATACACACACAGGCATACGGATATTAGCCATGGGGCATATGTCGAGTAGTTAGTGTCTGATTAGAGAGCTCCCGCAAATTCCTCACAATTTTATAGATTAATGTATAAGCTAATCGTATTGCTTGTGTAAATTGTATATCTATGTACTGTAAAGCGCTTTAGAGTGGCTTATTCTAGCTAGATAGGGCGCTATATCAAATGTTGTGTATTATTATTATTATTAAATAATCAAATAATTTTCTTCAAATATTTTCTATAAATGCTTTTCATTGGTTACATCAGTATAAATCATGTGAGATGGGTCAGAGGCAGTTAAATTGATCTAAGAAACATTTAATAGTAAATGGATAACTCTACGTTTTAATGCATTAGTATGTAAATTGCTTCCTATCCCTTCCTAACTACTAATTATACAGAGCATCCATAACTGAAAAAGGTCCAGCTCTATACCTCCTAACAAAGAACATTCTCTATCCGCAGATTGCAAAGAGAGACTTAGTTCTCACAGCTAAGAATGTCTACCTAATTGGAAGGGAAGTGGTAAGTTTACAAACCCTCATAAGTTATCAACATACACAGATAACTCTTTGTCCTTCTATGTGCATATTGTATAAAAGCGCAGTGTCAAGGAGAATGGTGTCGTTGTATATTACTTTATAGTGTAAGACATGAATTGTTGTGACTGTGGTTGTGTGTGAGGCTAGATTTTATGATGTTACATAAGGACTCAGATCAATGCTGGGTGGCAGAATGTGAATAGGTTAACATTGATATTTATTGACTGAGCCAATTAAGATACAAGCTGCAAAATCCAGATTAACATTGTATCCAGTCAGAAGAACACTACACAACAGGTTGATCGCTTCACTTGTCATTTCTTTGTTGTCTGCTCTTACAAATCATCTGGCTTGACAGAACAAAACGAGAACAAGATGATGTGCAGTTGTTTGATGATGAAATGATAATTCAGGTAGAAATGGCTAGTCAACATCTGACGGAAGGTTAATCATTGCTATTTATTATAGTTCCGGCACACTAGGTATATATGCTGTCTTCAGAAACATGGGATCCGTCTGCGGAAGACCACCAGAACATTTGGAAAATTTGGAGACTGATGTTGGATCTGTGTGCTGGAAGATGCAGTGATCATTTCAGAAACATTGGCTTTATCTTAAAGTCGGATTACAAGTTCTTTTCTTGATGCATAATTGTAGTTCCAGATTTTCAAAGCTTCTGGACATGTGGTAAAACAATACACATACAGTATATATACATAGGTTTTCATTTGGGTTTGATGAAGACATATTTGTACTGTATACCGGGAAAACTTTCACCTAGTCAAATATTTGCCAATCACTTGCAAACTTCATATTCACCCAAAGTTTATTCCACCTTTCAAATGTTTTCACTGTGTATTGTATGTTGTTTACTTACTTCCACTGTCATGATCAATTAACCCTCATTATGGAGGGGCGAAATAGGCCAAATTTCAACTGTGATGAAAATATTTCCGGTATACAGTATAAACTTCATGTATGTACAAATCTGGCTTTGAAGAACCCAGCCCTTGGAATTATAATGAAGTAGACGTTCAAATATTTTTTGTGTCTGAAAAATCCTTAAAAGAGATTTGTTTTCCAGATTAAAAAGGGGCCAGACAAGGGAACGATGATAGAAGTAATAAAACGTAGTATACCAGTAGAGAGTATAACTCAAGTCTGTATGAGGTGAGTAGTATACCAGTAGATAGTATAACTCAGGTCGGTATGAGGTGAGTAGTATACCAGTAGAGAGTATAACTCACGTCTGTATGAGATGAGTAGTATACCAGTAGAGAGTATAACTCAGGTCTGTATGAGGTGAGTAGTAGACCAGTAGAGAGTATAACTGAGGTCTGTATGAGGTGAGTAGTATACCAGTGGAGAGTATAACTCAGGTCTGTATGAGGTGAGTAGTAATCCAGTAGAGAGTATAACTCACGTCTGTATGAGATGAGTAGTATACCAGTAGAGAGTATAACTCAGGTCTGTATGAGGTGAGTAGTAGACCAGTAGAGAGTATAACTGAGGTCTGTATGAGGTGAGTAGTATACCAGTGGAGAGTATAACTCAGGTCTGTATGAGGTGAGTAGTATACCAGTAGAGAATATAACACATCTGTATGAGGTGAGTACAGGACAGAAATTGCACCAGGTACATTTTTTTACTTCACTATATAAAGTCTATTAAAGAAATCTCTTTCACAGATGAATCTCTGTAAACAGGGATTTTAGAGGTTGAAATCCTTCTATAAAGAATCACTAATAACATACAATGTCTTCTTACTACATTAATATAAACTAGCATAACTTATGATATCAATGATAATGAAAGAACAATATATTACTATATGTATAAGACATTTGGAAGGTTTACATTATACAAATAAGACAGAAAAAAGATATGTCATCTCAAAGATGATTTTGTGAGGGAAAGGATCAATGAAAGGGTTTAAAAGTATTAAAAAGTGGGTTTGTTCAACCATCAGAGAGACATTTCTTTGTCTCTGTAAATTATTAATGAATTATTGTTCTTAATTATGCTACTAGAGACTCACTGATAAATAGAAATGTTCATAGTACTTAAATGAAATGTAAGAGAATTTTTACAGTAGAGAAATGCGGTACAAGGATACAGAATGTCACCAGCTGAAAGATATGAATCTAATACAAGAAAAACTTAACATCGAAATAATTCTAAAACATTTCCTTGATATTTCAGTACCCTACAAGATGACTTATTTGTCATACATATACAGAATGAGTATGCCAGTTTGCTTGAATCAGTGTTCAAGACTGAATTCCTATCCACACTGTCAAAGCGCTACAAAGACAAAACTGGCAATGAGCTGAGGACACAGTTCAGTGACACGTAAGATTCTGATTTCTAGCTCATATACACGTCATTTAGCAAAGGTTGTTGATTTGGGCTGTAGGACATGATACAGGTATTAGCGTCATTTAGCAAAGGTTGTTGATTTGGGCTGAAGTGCATGATACAGGTATTAGGGTCATTTAGCAAAGATTGTTGATTTGGGCTGTAGGACATGATACAGGTATTAGGAAAAGTTTTTCATTAGAAAATTGAGAAACCAGTCTATCTGAGTGATCCATCCACAACTTATTTTAATGCGTCCTTTTCAAATGTATTGCTAATAACAATGAGTCCCACAATGTTAAATTTAACTATTTCCAGAAATTCTGTGAGTCCCATTGAAATTCTATGAGTACAGGACTCAGGACTCGCATGTAGATTCATCACTGCTATCTGTCTCCTGAGTAATGCATTATCCTGTCTAATTCAACATAACGCTGTTATACCATTTCTAATGAAAGCTTCCAGATTAACCTGTGGATTCTGATGTCCATGTTAAACAATATTTTGTGTCCCATTAAACAGATTTCTTTGAATACATTCAAGGTTTAATGCATGGAATCCTGGTCACGGCACCAATTTTTGTACTGATGTATTACAGGTTAGAGTTTCCAATAAAGAAGGAAGGCTGGGGAGGAGGCGGTACACGGTCGATCAGGTTTAGCAAATTAGGACAACCTCAGGATGTAGCTGTGATGAAGCCCTCAAGCAAAGTCCTTAATGTCAGTATAGGGCAAGGCCTTCCTAAGGATTCACGTAAGTCGGCAGAACTTAACTATTTTCTATTCATGGGATGTGAAAGTAACCAGTAAAAATTGTACGTAATTTCTTTCTTTACCTTTGTATAAAGGGATCATTTACATAATTGTCCAATGTCTATTCACTTCTTATTTATTGAAGGTCTTCCTGATTTAGTTTTATTTAAATTTTATTTAAAGATTTTTTCCTGTTGCTTTTGTGAATTACTATTGATTGAGTCTGCTTTGTTTTATTTTTGCAGGGCCAGGAAAAAAGAAGATGCATGTTGGTAACGGAACTCTGAGGAGGAAAAACCCGCCCAGCAAATCTGCTCCTACAGGACCGCCTCCTTCACGGGGGGCCCCACCTCCACCCACATCAAACCCTCCTAGTCTGAGTAAGCACCTATCCACTCTTGTCAAACGAAGTTTTGGTAAAAGCTACTTGCCCCTACCCACTTCTGTCTAAATAGATATCCACCCCTAGTTATCTGAGTCTTGTTTAAAAACCTGCTAACCTCTATCAGCGCAAGTCTAAGTAAAAACTGCCCACCACCCATATCCACATTAAGTCTAGGTAAAACCTGCCCACCCCAATCCACATAACTCCATGTAAACATCTGACACCTACCCAATAGTTAATCCATCACATGATCCGATTTCACTGTCACCAGGATTGAAAATTAAAAAGAAAGAAAAAATCACAAATTGGGTGATTAATTAAAGGCCATTTGTGTTCCTTTTGTAAAAACCTACCCAACTCCACCTAGCTCTACCACTGTTCAGCCCTTCTAGTACAGGTACAAACCTTTCCACCTAACCAGACATATTTGTTCAATCCTGTCATGACATAAATGTGTGTACCTTTCTACCTCCAACTTCATCCGTACTATCCATCTGTGATTATTTTTTGCCTAGCTCTGAAATACTTGAAACAAAAAAATATGATTACAGCACAAGTCAAATAATATTTATCATAAACAGCATTTATATAGCACCCTGGATGATTTGTAAAATTACTCTAAGGTGCTTTAGACAGTTATACATATAATAGATATAAAAATCACTGTTTGGACTCTCCACTTAATCGGAACATTATCAATACCTGACCAATCTCTCACATACCTTACTAGGATCCTTCGTGGATATTAGACTTCTTCAGCAGACATGCGTGCATACATTACACACATGGAGGCCTATCCTTGAATGACCTTAGCTATTGTGAGGACGCTATACCTTACAATCTGAACCAACTTCTTACACTCATTTGACTGCAGAAAACCAATATCTGGTTCCATTACACCTGAATTGACAGTTTGTTTTGTGTGTTTTATCATATCCTACATTTAAATCAATAAAAATGTTGAACTTTAACCTGTAAATATAGTTATCTAGGTCAGTGACTAATTATGAACATTCTGACACTTTTCCGTGGTCTCTAGGTAACCGTCGATCTCGCCGCATCAGTGAAAAGACACCATCACTGCCGCGAGACGGGGGCCAGAAAAAAGCCAAGAAGATCAACGAGGCTGTGATGAACAACAATAATAACTTCATGCAAACTCCAGATGCAGGTTACTCAGGGTGAGGATTGTTAGAGTTATGTCCCTTTAATCTATAGTCAATATCGGAGATCCGTGATCTAAATCTACTGTGGAACATGCATAGAAGAAAAAACCATAAATGGATTCAGTAATTACAGAATATGTATTATTCAAGCTCAATTATATTATGTTGGCTTCTCTGCATCGTTGCTCTAGCTGTCACACTGAAATATAAAGTTTTAACTAGTCACAACGCAGTTATCTATCTTTGATCCTTTAGCTTTACCTTTGATGATCTGCTACAGTGGAGCCCACTTATTACAATCTCTGTTATAATAACAATATATAGCATGTTGTCAATCAGTATTACCAACTACCTAAAACCTGTATACTAGTATCATATTATGTACTTTGAATGGTAGCTTAAACAAAGATTGGAAAATTATCTTACATCTTATGAAAATTCTACTAATATTTTTTGCTACAAATTACCATAGTCATTACGCTTCATATACCTACTTTTCAACATAAATTTGTTGAAGGATGATTTTAATTTGAACTACATTTTGGATGATATTCCCTATTTATTCTGTTTTGTTGAATATTCATGAAGTTAAAACTAATGGATATTCATGATATTTTCTATATAATCATATTACACTGAATATTAATTATGTCTATGGCAGTGTTGAGATGTCGTAATATGCATAGTGCCTTGTCTATTAGTCTACAGCGTATTGACCAAGAACGAATGAGCGAGTAAGTTTAACATTAATTTTGTCTGTCAGTTTACTAATACAGCCGAGCCTCTAACGATCAGCCACTTCTGTGTCTCAATCACTAGTGTTTGAATTTAAGGATATGGTTGGATTATTTGGACAATATAAAGAAAAGGTGAATCCATTTCTAAAATTACTAGCTGTATCGTGGGATAAGTGTTGGCTAGGTAGTGGGACAATTTGATTAGCAGTGGCTGGATTGACGAGACTCGCCTGTATACGCTTTGTGCTTTGACCGTTGTGTGATTCAGGATATCCAATCTGAATGTGCATGTCATTCTGTTGTGTGTGTATGTTGGTATCATTTCCATTACATCTGGCGTCACTTGTATAAAACATCTCAAAGTTAAGGAAAATCTCAAGTAATGTATTGTCTATGGGAAATCTTAGACTTGAGGAAATCTCAAGAGTTGAGATGTTTTATACAAGTGTGCCCAGGCTCTCAGATCATGAAACCATCTTCAGTTTTTTGCCTGGCCAATCACGTATGACGTCACTTTCCATGATGTCTGTAATTGGTTAAGGCAAAACTTGAGACAATTTATGTTCAGGATTGCTCTAAGATCTTGGGGCCAGATCACCTTCTGTAAGACACTGTTATTTTACAAAGCAACATACAGGAACACTCTCACAGACTCAACTTTTGCAATAAAACCAATGCAAATGTTTGTCTTCAAATTCATGGAAGTTAATTATATGGTGTGTAGCATAGTTCAAGTTTGATACCCTACCTGCACACATGCTCAAAAACAAGTGCTATGCCTGGATATAGAAATAGAATTCCAAGACTTAATTGAGTATGTTTTTATATTCTATGAAAATGCACTGGGTCAAAATGTTGTAACTTAAATTCTTGAATTAAGCTTGTTTTCATTCATTGTTACAAATATTGTTAATGACAAGCTCAAATTACACTGCATTGATAAGAAGGTATGTTGCTATTATATCTGTAGATTGTCCTAATTCTTCATGTTTATCGTTATTGAGTCTGATAAGTTTATGTTTTAAGGCACAATTCATTATCTGATTATTTCCTGCCCAATCAAGTTGCTGGGGATATAAAAATGGGATCTGTCTGTCCATCTATGCACATTGGGAAAAATTTGAAGTCCATATTTGGGTATTCATAATTGGTGCATAGAGAATACTTGCATGAATGATGTAGCTAGGGTGGCTCTACTGAACACATAACAGATGCTGAATTTCATATTCATCTATTTAAAAATATTTGTAATAATTTTGCAGTATTAAAACTACAATTTATGTCTGCATAGTAATGTGTTAGACATTTGGGTTGAAGGATTTTTAAAGTAATATAGTAAAATTAATTGTAGCGCCCTGTACCATTTATAATTGTACAGCATGTTTAATGATAACTTTGACATCTACTTCTGACTTGTCTCTGGAGCGGGGAATATTGATGACAGCATTTTCTTGTTTATTTAGCATCATGATCAGATCTGCTTATATAGTGGTGGCCGGATCCTCCAGCATCATTCAGGAATTATTTTTTCACCATATTTCCTACCATGTGACTTTGTGGTTTTGCATGTGCTTCTGAAGAAAGCATATAGTTGTATGAGGCAATGAGAATGTGAGACAGGTTACCTCCCCTTAATAAAATAGTCACAATGGTTTCATCGTATAGTGTTATAACAATGTGGCAATCATATGTTGAACTTAAAATGTCTTGAAATTGGGAAATCACCAGTCATGTAAAAACATAATATGTAAATAAAAAGTGAATTTTTGAGATTTGATAATTAAGTACTCATTGAGTACAATAAAAAACACCAACCAGACAATTTCTTATACCAAGTAAATGTTGCTCCGTATAATACGCACTAGTACAGTTGTGGGACTTCACAATGCACCACAAATAGCGTGCACACATCGTCCACACATGGTGCGCACAACTGTGCGATTTAACAATCGTTCGCCCCGTTGTGTGCTTAATTCTCTCCGCACAAATGTACGATTTGGTAGAATTGGTTGATCAATGTTAAGGAATGAAAAAAATCTGTAGCCCTCGTATGGAATAAGGAACACTGTATATATAAATTGCTTATGAAATTAATGAGGACTATGTTTAATTTTACAATGTGTGTTACACAGCATTACAGTGACCGTTAGACTATCAAGAATGGATTTAGCTTTCAGGTAACAGAACAGGTTTAAGTCGAAAGCAACCCTTCACCTGGATTTTCACACCTTGGCAAGTTAGGTATGTGCCCGGGGTGTGGAAAACTACAGTCCAGGTATAGATACAAAGTGGCTATGTTTACCTGTATGCGTGACCGTGTCAGTACGTGCATATGTTATTTTACATGTGTTGATTTGGGCCGCTTAAAAAACACAGAAAACACCATTTCTAAATTAAGTAAATTTAGATAGAAAGATCAGCTGATATGTGTAGCTAGAATATAGATTAATGAATTTACTTAAAATTCAAGTTTGTATGTTTAAACACGAGGCCGTATTTATTGTTAAGCCATTTCTCTCAGTTTACACCAACCACGATTGTCATTGCACAACCATCGTCCGCACAAATGTGCGCAAGCAATAATTGTCTAGATTTCAATTGTTCGCATACCGTGCATACATCGTGCACACTCCGTCCGCACATTGTGCACACCGCACATTGTGCGCACACCGCACATCTTGTAATGTTGTGCGTTCCCACAACTGTAATACCGCAGTGGTGTCAGTATTATATGGTTTTATGGCATTTTGATCTTTCACAATTGTTTGAAAAAATTGCACTATTCTGTATCATGATAATTTATTTGCAGTAGGTTGAACCTGAGACACAAAAATGTAGGTGTACAGCTTGGTCAGTAAAGCTGAAACATGTTTTCAGTATTCTGTGTCGTCACAATGGCATATCCAGATTCTCAGAAGGCCAACGTCTAGTATAAGATTACAAACTTAAAGTAACAAAGAGTGTAAAAACAAGTTGATGGACTACTTCTGGATCAGTGTTTTGTAAATTATGTGAATGTGATATTCATTTTGTTGTAGAGATTAACATTATGTCTGTGTTTGTGATTCTAACCTGTAGTTTAATAACATAGAAAGCACCAGTAGTTGTACGGTAAACGTGGAGTGAGTATATATACTGCATGACATTTTCTGTAATAACAAAAACGAAAACAAATCAATTAAGTGACAATTGAAATGTTGTTGGAATAAAAATACTAGTATATGGATCAAAGGTTCATTTAGCTCACCTGGTTCAAAGGGCCAGTTAGCGTATACCATGGTGCTGCATCCTTCGTCCATTATTCGGTTAAAATAATATTTTGCCATGATTGCCAGAATTTCCGAGCGCAAGAGCAAAGTATAGGCCCTCTGGGCCTCTTGTTTTGTTGTTTTCTTGAAAGTTCTTTCTGAGAACAGACTAGAGCTACTTGGACCTGTGCTTGTGTTTGTAGTGTGCCGACTTGAATTATGAAATGTTAACACACTGTGGGTGTAAATTACAAATACATGGAACATTAGTAAAGCCTACACATGTCCTCTGACAACAGATTTCACTATTGTAATGATTTTCTTTTCAGCAGATGGAGGTAAAAGATAAAATCTTTGTAAAAACTTATTATCTTTGTTTAAAGTCGCTTTTACAAACTTTTACAAGTAATAGAATACTACAGAGAAAGTGAACAAAATATTTTGAAGGGGGTGAGAAAAAGGAAGGGTGCTTTTTTTGAAAGGGAGTTTAATAAAATAAAAATTGTAAATTTTAAGAAAAGGTGTTAAACAAGAAGAATTTGAATGAAAGACCTACAAATGTCCTGAAACTATCATTTGTATACTGTATACTGCTACAGAGACAAAAATTGAATTGTGTCAACTGAACTTCCTTTTAAGAATGTTGATGATCATGTAACCAGGATAACAGTGTGAGGGTATTCCAACCTCAGCTGTTATTATGATGTACAGGCTTTCTTTAATAGCATTGCAATAACAGGCTGGTTCTGAAGCTGACAGACATTCATGTTTAATTTATTCACTGATTTCTCAAACCCTGTCTTATTTTTATTTCATAACCAGTATTTGTTTGCATGGACATTGCTAATGTTGTCATTAACAATAATTGGTACAGCGTTATAACTGATCTGGACCTAGTAAAATTGTTTCTGGAAAAAGTGTGAAGGTAAAGGCTAAAAGTGTGAAGGTAAAGGCCAAAAGTGTGAAGGTAAAGGCCAAAAGTGTGAAGGTAAAGGCTAAAAGTGTGAAGGTAAAGGCCAAAAGTGTGAAGGTAAAGGCTAAAAGTGTGAAGGTAAAGGCTAAAAGTGTGAAGGTAAAGGCTAAAAATGTGAAGGTAAAGGCTAAAAGTGTGAAGGTAAAGGCTAAAAGTGTGAAGGTAAAGGCTAAAAGTGTGAAGGTAAAGGCCAGAAGTGTGAAGGTAAAGGCTAAAAGTGTGAAGGTAAAGGCTAAAAGTATGAAGGTTAAGGCCAAAAGTGTGAAGGTAAAGGCCAAAAGTGTGAAGGTAAAGGCTAAAAGTGTGAAGGTAAAGGCTAAAAGTGCGAAGGTAAAGGCTAAAAATGTGAAGGTAAAGGCTAAAAGTGTGAAGGTATGGGTCAGTTTGGTCATTGAAAAAAGTGAAAGGTATAGTAAAGGTGACCTTGACCTTGGAAGCAGTGTTATAGTAAAAGCTGACACAGGTGATTCACTAGTCTTGCTGTTTCCTGTGTTTTTAGTGTACAGAGGAACAAAAGTAGTATGAAGAAACCTAGTCCTGCTGGAGGGCGTCCCAAACCCCCAGCTGCCCCCAAACCCAAGCCTGCCTTCCCCCAGTGTCGCTGTCTCTATGCCTACGATGCCCAGGATGTTGATGAGCTGAGCTTCAATGAAGGAGACATTATTGACCTAGTGAAAGAAGGTACAAGAAACAAATACCTATCTTGACTTGGCCCCATTTTCTATATCGCTGTTTTGTGAAAAGGCAGGAATGTCATGAAAAAAACCTTGATTATTATGAATTTGGATCATTGCAATACCTTGTCGGTATTGAAATGTAATTCTAAAGATTTCTTTTTGGATATTCAAAATTCATGTACTAAGTTTATAATTTATTTGTTACTTTTTCCTTGGTCGTGACTTTAACATACCAGGTACACCTTATTGTAGGTCACTGCAACCTACTTTCTCTAATTCACTGACTTTGGTTTGATTTTGTGTTAAACACATTTTCTCTGACACTTCAAGACCCAAATATTATATGCAGATAATTGTATATCAGTGTAGTGCATCGTCATAAAATTATGACAGGTAGGTCACAGTGACCTATATTTCTGCCTCACCAACTGTGGTTTTACTTTCCATTTAGCTCCATTTCCTTCAAAGGAGGAGAAGGGGGTGTTTGTGTTTTTCAAAACTGATTTCTTATTGAATCTTAAGTATTTAATTCAAACTTTTTTTAACTTTCAGAGGCTACTGGCTGGTGGACAGGAAAGCTGCGAGGAAAACAAGGTCTGTTTCCGGCAAACTACATAGAAAAGCTGTGATAGGCAGAGCTGTGATCTCCAGGACATTCCGACAGAAACTAGGCAACATTTGTTACAAATTGCTTTAGCCCGTCACAGGGTTGGTTTGTGTGATAGGGTATGGGCACTGTGGGTCTGGTGTTTTACTGTACTGAAGATGTAGTCTTACAGACCCATGATAGGGTATAGCTGAGACTGACCAAGTGGTCGTATAGACAGACTGTAGTATATGTGATACTATGGGTGTCGTGTGTCCGACCTGTTATTGGGTATGCAGGACTCTATAGCCGGAGTGGATGTCACTGTGCAGGATTCTAATTTGTCCCTGGATCTTGAAGGGCCATACTTCTGTTGCCTGAGGCTTACTGACCAGTATAACTGTTGGATAGTAGCCCAGAGATGACTTTCTGATAAGTAATGTGAAAGTTCATGCGTGGCCTTATGAATGATAAACATCTGCTTGTCTAGTCGTTAGACACTGTATCAGTTTTTATATACAGTAAAACCTCTTTATACTGCCAGTATTTGTTCAGCAAAGTTTTGGCGTTATAAAGGGGTTGGGCAATATGTCGAGGGAAACATAAACATAACTTTAGACCATGAAATATGTTGGCAGTGTAAGGAAAATTGCAACAGAGGAAGGGCATTGTATGGAGGTTTTATTGTACTTTTACAATTGTTAAGTTTTCCTCTGTTGAGGATTGTATGGAATTGCATGTAGTCTGCAATACTTAGCCAACAGATTGTTGATAAATTGTATGCAACCATTAGCTGTTAGACCTACATCGAAATTTCTAAATGAGAGTACACATGATGTAACCGAGTTTAGAGTAGAAAGTATGAAGAACCTTAGCTTAGGCTATGAAGGTCATTGCTTAGACTATAAAGGTCATTGCTTAGACTATGAAGGTCATTGCTTAGACTATGAAGGACATCACTTAGACTATAAAAGATGTTGCTTAGGCTCTGAAGGTCATTGCTTAGACTATGAAGGACATTGCTTAGGCTATGAAGGACATCACTTAGACAATAAAAGATATTGCTTAGGCTCTGAAGGTCATTGCTTAGGCTCTGAAGGTCATCGCTTAGGCTATGCATTGGATGAACTGTGCCCTAGGACTAAGAATCTGAACCACTACGTAAACACATATAGGACGTGTAATCTCCCTGTTTAAGACACAAGAGTGTATATGTGCATGTATTTGTTACGTTAATGCTTGTTCCAGTTACAAAGTCTTCACTTGACGACCGGTTATTTAACAATGTGAACTTGTTCATTAGCCTTATCTGCTCAACCTATAGAAGACCTTATAAAATGGCTTGATATTTTAACTTTGGAGGTGTGGCCTTTGTCATGGCAATAAGGCCATAGATGTCATCACTTGACACTGCATTATATATTGTATCATTAACTCATTCACCCCTGAAATTTCATAATGAACTATTCCAACCTTTGAACTGGAAGAGTTCAAATGTATCTTCAAGGGTGAATGAGTTAAAAGCTTAAGGGTAGTGGTAGAAACTAGGGTAAAACTATTTAAAATCAAATGCGGTTTCCTAATTATATAACGGTACTGCTTCATAAATGTTATAGAATTATTGAGTTTGATGTTGTCACTGGTGTCAAGCCCTTTTAAGATCATGATTGAATTAGTGTTCATGAAAACTTGGAAAATAGGATTGAAATAAAACAAAAGCTCCTAACAAAATAACCATGATTTATAGAAATTTGTTACATGAGAAGAATATATTACAAATTTCTGAGGGGAATATTGACAAGTTATCATCTATGCAATGAATATAAGATGAAGTCCAGAAAAAAAGTCAAATATTTTTCTTTAAAATATTTTTTATATTTCATAAACAAAAGTATGGTATTACATAGATTTTGTCATTAGAGGAGAATATATATTATTAAAATTTACTATGTACAGAAATTTTATTAAGAATATTAATAATCAGTTTTTACGATGTCTGTTTTAAGTCCAAAATGACACTACCAAATTGGAAAGTTACACCCAAGTTATGACCGTCCTATATATGTATTTATCGTTATATATACCACCCATAAAACACAAAATGTGCCTTGATTTTGAATGAACAGCCACCTCAGATGATATAGAAATGTGTGTCGTATATTGTTCATTTTACACTACAGCACATTGTACTAGATAGTGGAGTAAGCTTCACATAGGATCCAGTTTACTATATCATAGTGCAGTATACATGAAGAAATATATTAGCAGTTTTTAGCTCTGATTAGGAGTGTTAAATTATGTACAGTGCAAATACATAATTTTCATTTCAGAATATAATAGAAGTAAATTTCATTATGTAATGCTAGTTCAGGTTTGTGTTATATTTTCTGTGACAGATAAAGCAAAAATGTTACTACACTAAAAGATACACAAGTACAGTTCTTTGTATTAGCATATATACTCATTTCCACGCATCAGTGATAATTTTTCAAGGATTTTGCTACAGCTATATTGCAGTGATTTATATGTTTACACTTTTATTTTTAATGCGAAATTTCTGAAATATTTTCACAGCTATAATAACATGTTTACAGTATTGTCAGTTGCAGCATATCAATAAAGAAAAGACAATAAGTCTCAAAATATATAATTACCCGGTAATGAATTTTAAATTAAGATATTATTTAAATGATCAAAAAGTATATTGAAGTAAAAGTCGGAGTATATACTGTGTGATGGCTATAGGAGTAATATATTTTTAAGGATATATTTTTTGAAATATACAATATGAAATTTACATGGCCTGCTGTCTGATTGAATAAGAACAGCCAGTTAACTTGTGCCATAGATTTGTTTAGGTATTTAAATATGCAACAAATAGACTTTACATACCATATTTAATCTTACTAACATTCAAAATTGAATTTGAAAGTATAAGTATATAAGGTATAATGCATGGTTTTAAGCTATAATCCCTCAGGATTTAAATGCCTTTTAAGAAAAAAATCATTTAAAAAGAACTCCTTTTATTTTGGAAGACAGTTATTAACAGAAGCGGATAATTGAGAAGCAAGATGTTTCCTGTAATAATTTATAAGTTGTCTCAAAAATATACAATAGTTATAGTAATTATACATTTATATGTGTATAACAAATATAGCGCCAAGAAATCCTTTAGAAATATATTAAATCACGATTGTGTATGAAGGAGTAAAGTATTTAGGCAATTAGTCAGTACATATAGATAATAGAAATTTGTAACAGGCTCAATTATACATTTTAGTTAGAACATTTTATAATCAATGTTTAGTTTGACATATTTAAAACATGTGTAAAGTTGTTTAAAAAAGACCTTTTGAACACCCTAAAACCGTCTCGACTAACAAGGTTTCTCTGTATAACTATAGCAGGCAGGAATTAACGAATGTGTTTCCAATGAAATCAAACATATACATGTATTTTGTTATCTTTCATTTAATACAGATGTATATAATACCTGTGTAGTAATTACATGAAGATGTTTAAGTATATGTTTATGATTTGATAGTGAGGTACCTGTAAGTCGTACATGTAAAATATGAATGCTCAGTAAACATTACATACAATGTATTAAAATCGTACTCTATACCAGAGATGACAGTAATGGCTGTGTGGAGGATGTTCGTGTCGGGGATAATAACCGAAATAAAGATCACACCTCACTTATAGCTATAACAACAGAGGTCAGTTTTACTACATCATTGGAGTCTTTGGGAGAACGTTCTCATCACAATCTTAAGACTTGTGTTTGATAGAAATATTTCATAAATTGTGTCGGAGGGAAATATTAAGCCCTCCGTATATTATACGTGTATTATGATTCCATTAATATCCATGGGATAATTTTCCATACATTCTGGTACCTAAATTTAATTCTACAATCAGCTATGTAACAAGGATTTTCGTTACTCAACAACCATGGATTATCTAAACAACAACAACCATGGATTATCCAACAACAGCTACCGTGCTGTTCCAAAGTCTTCGATGTATAACTATATAATACATATCTTTGTTAAATAATAGCAATCTCAACTGGTCTTTGAAATTGACAAGCTTGATGACACGAGAAGCATTTTGCACACCGAAAGGAACAAAAGTCAAATATTTAAGTAATTCAAAAATACATTTTGTTACATAATCATCTTATTCTAAAGTATATTATATTGGAATGTGTTTAACTTAGGATTCAAATATTTTTTGGAAAAAAATACCAACTTAGGACTGTAAGCCTTATACATGTAATAACATGTAAGAATTAAGGATAGTGTTGGTGACAAATAGCTTAGTGGTCTAGACAGTTCAATTGAAAATGTTATCGTTCCGAAATGTTTGATATTCTGATGATGATGACAATAACTGCAATCTTTTGAAGCAAATATTTTTTTTATCAAAAAAATCAAAATGAGGAGGACGGTTTTTGTGATATCTAAGAGTTTTGTAAAATGTTAAAGAAGAGGTGAGAGGTCAGGATAGAATCAGAGAGAGGTTGTTGACCCTTGAACCTACATGCTGACAATAGTGCTGCTGTAAGGCTTATATTTCTTTGACATTTTCACCACTGTAGACCATAATGGACTCATCCAGAGCAATGCATGGTAGAGTTTTATAAGTTACATAGGGTGAAAGGGTTAATAAGTACATTGGCTGCTACATATCTAACATTAATGTTATAAGAATATTACTGGAACTTATTTTTTAACAATATGAGAGATCTGGTGTTGCCTTAGATCTGGTGTTGCCTTAAAACCTTTATTTTCTATATAACAAAGAGCGATGATCTGGGTCCACTATCTTGTTCAGAAACTGATCAACTTAATTATTTATTCTTATATTAAAAAACATTGAAATTCAGAACTTAAGTTGTATTTATAAGGATTCATAATTATCCTATGACAACAGACGAAAAACATTTGGAATTTTTTACATAATTCTCAAAAACATCATTTTGAAATTTGAGTTAATGACTTGACACAGGATTTGAACATTACGGCCCTAATGGCAGGAGATGACAGCTGAGGTGTATCACTGTAACTTTTTATACACATGCCTTTTATTATAGATTATTGCTGTAGTTTAAGTATATAATTTTGTACATATGTAAAATATCGCCACGGTATTGTAAGTCTCCTGTCACTTTTTATCACTTCTGGAATTCTGTTAATTTTTGTGGATCAATTCCATCCCATTGTTCCAATTGTATATACACTTAAACATGTATGTATGTTAATAATATTTAACTATTATGGTAACATTGGTCTCTGTGCTTTGTTATGAGAGATGGATGGCCAACCTGAGGAGTCGAGATATGTGTGACTTATGGTTAGTTGGAAATCGATAGAGAAAATAGTATGTATGGTCCAATCAGTTTGTTATTTTTGTTGGTTGATTGATCAAGATATAGGAGTAAGCATACTTTCCCCCCAATTATGAGGAAAAAAGAAAATGTAGATTGATAAACTTATATTTTTGCTTTATCATTTACATTTTGTATTATCTCTTGTAAACAAGACTACAGATACTGTCCAATCACAAACGTTTTAGTATGTGAAATTGCAAAATTAGTTGTCCATGAGAAAGAAAATCATGAAAAGTTATCACCTCATAAAAGTAACAGCCATGATATTGACATCCCACCAAAAGGTCTATGTTTGCAGTAAGATCTTTTCCCAGAATTTGTATAAAATATATTTTAAGTCATACAATGTATTATAGCATACATACAATTTATTACAACATATATATATATATATATATATAAGTCAATGCCTTATAAATACAATGTAAAAATGGTGTATTATGTATATACTACAATCACACAAGAACACCTGGATGGGCTCGGTGTGTATGCAATGTACATTATACAAATAACAATGTATATCCTGTACATGTACAGTGTACATGTATAAACAATGCATGTTTTGTACAGCATAGATTTAATGTACATAAATCAAACAGGACATACAATGTGTACATGTGTTATGTACATGCATTATGCATTTACATGTTATGTACAGTTATATTGGGTACAATAAATACATAAGACATTGTATATATATACATTGTATATATATTGTATACTATAGATCTATATACAATTCATATTATACACCATACATTTTAATATGTATGTTAACAAAGATGTATACAATATTGATTCAGTTTACAATGGGCAGTCTACATCTACAAATATTCATTGCAATATGTACAATTTGTACATAAACATTATATGTACATTTTTTCATATTTCATAAATTTTACTTTAAAGAAATTGTTTCAAATTATGTAGATACCTTATGGTTTATAATTATGACGATACCTTATGGTTTATAATTATGTATATACCTTATGGTTTATAATTATGTAGATACCTTATGGTTTATAATTATGATATTTCCTGTATGACATTTTAACTAGTGACAAATGCTATATTCATCCTCCGTCTTTCAAGTACAGTGTATACACCACATATATCATGTATCCGCTCTATTGCAGTCATGACCTAATTATAGCGATAACAGATATTTTTATAGACGTCTGTCGATGATTATAATTGTTAAAAATAAAAATTGATTGACTCTTTGCATGTGTCTTATGTCTTGTGTATACAGACGCTATTGAGAAATGCCCTATCACATATATTGGGCTCATTTCATTCAGGAGGATGCTTCCCTGTATGTGTGACCAGTGGGATATAAGTACATAGTCAGGGCTTCATGTATTGTACATCTTCAACAATCTGTAATGACCGACAATCTGTAATGACCGACAATCCGTAGATAATGTACCGACAACGGGTTATTTACATGAACTTAAATGTTTGTAATTTTAACCCAAAATTAGAAAATTTCATTCACACAGATTATAATTTCAGGATCCTGAAATGTGAAAGAACTAAATTATCGTGGCTCATTTTCATGCTTGTCATATTCGTTCTGCGGATTATATTTTTGCAATCACGCTATTGACCCACAAAATCACGAAAACATCTTGCTATACAGTAGTATTGAATAGGGCAGATATTTGGAAATCATTCCAAGTAAAAGCTTGCTTCAAACAGTTTTTATATCCCTAAAATCTAGTACACACTGGATGGTCTGCTTATCTGTTTTTTGGCCAAATGATACCTGGATAATGAACAATCACACTAAGTTTAGATGCCCTTGATGATGGGCGTGACCTGCAAAAGGTCAAGATTGCGTTTGCTAAAAAAAGAATTTTGCATGACTTTTCATTTCTAGATAATAAATTGAAAATGAATGATCACAAAACATTTAAATTTGGTGTGGTCTTTGACCCGGGGAATGTGAAGAATTCTATTGATTCTGAGCCTTATTGGCTCAAGGTCAAGGTCACCATTTCTAGTAATAGAGTTTTGCAGAAAGATTGATCACTCGAAGATGACGCTTTGTGTCAGTGTTGCCCAGGGGATGTGAAAAACCAAAATGATACAAGGCCTGACTGGCTCAAGGTCGAGGCTACTATGGCTAAAATAGAATTTGTATGGTTTTGTCCGTATGATTAGCTTAGAAAGATCATGATGCATATGGACCCATTTATTTACTTGCCATGATCACAGAACATTTACCTTTGATGGGTATCGACTTACAATTGTAGCTTCCCCTCTCCAATACAAACTATTTATATATTCATTCATGAAAATGCTCCAATTTTAGGGGGGTGGGGGTGGGGGGATATGCTGACAGCACTCTTGCTTAGGCTATTTGAGCTACATAATGTACCATCTCTTGAAGGACTACTAGTATAAGGCCTTAGGTCACGGTATTTGACTAGTTGGTATCTGGCATTGAGGGCTATCATAGTTATTCAAATAACGTATATTACAATGCCCTTTATCAAAGGTCACAGGGGTCAAATATATTGCAGTCTATAAAAGACTAATATCTAGTTTCAGAAGGCCTGGAGTCCTGATACATATGGTAGCAAGTATAAAAGGATATGATATATTCAAATGATTTACCTAAAATCACATGTATCAAATATGTTTAAAATCTCCAAATAATATTTATTTAATGTCTAGTAGGTCTAGAATCACATCAGGGATGGATTAAGCTATCAACAATGTTTTAAGTAAATTTCCTAGACCTTCATTCCAGGTCATGGGGACAAGACCTTCATTCCAGGTCATGGGGACAAGACCCTCATTCCAGGTCATGGGGACAAGACCTTAATTCATTCCAGGTCATGGGGACAAGACCTTAATTCATTCCTGGTCATGGGAACAAGACCCTCATTCCAGGTCATGGCGACAATACCTTCATTCCAGGTAATGGGGACAAGACCCTCATTCCAGGTCATGGGGACAAGACCTTTCTTCCAGGTCATGGGGACAAGACCTTAATTCATTCCTGGTCATGGGAACAAGACCCTCATTCCAGGTCATGGGGACAAGACCTTAATTCATTCCAGGTCATGGGGACAAGACCTTCATTCCAGGTCATGGAGACAATACCTTCATTCCAGGTCATGGGGACAATACCTTCATTCCAGGTCATGGGGACAAGACCTTCATTCCAGGTCATGGGGACAATACCTTCATTCCACGTCATGGGGACAAGACCTTCATTCCAGGTCATGTGGACAAGACCCTCATTCCAGGTCATGGGGACAATACCTTCATTCCAGGTAATGGGGACAAGACCCTCATTCCAGGTCATGGGGACAATACCTTCATTCCACGTCATGGGGACAAGACCTTCATTCCAGGTCATGGGGACAAGACCTTTATTCCTGGTCATGGGGACAAGACCTTCATTCCTGGTCATGTGGACAAATATGTTAAAATCTTGAGTTCTATAAAGAATTATAAGGCCAGTAGGTGGCATGAATGAAGGGCGAGCAAATTCGTCCAAATAAATGCTTGACAATGAAAGGTACCATGACTCCGACTGTTAAAGACTTCAAACTACGTTATCATCACAAATTTTTCAATTTAGCTCACCATGGATTTATTAAAATGAAAAATATTTAGAAATATTTGATAGACTTTAATGAAATTTCAAATTCTTTATATATAAGATATCTCATCATGTACTATACAAGATAGCTCATAGTATACATGTATCAGATCTCTTACATAAAGCATTTCAATTTTGATAATCTGGCCATAAAAATTGTAACGTTGGCTTGCCATCCTCTCTGGTTTATAGTGATGTAATCGCCTACCTTCTCAGCCTGTTTGATGTTTCAATCCATTGGGATACAATAAAGATATCATGAATGGAAATTCTTGATGCAAAACCCAAAACTAGTCTGACAAAGGAAAAAGGATTCATCTATAAATGTCATCCTGCATTGATGAAGTTTTGATTAGTGTTAAACGTTAATCCCCTAGTCCCTGTAAGTCAATAAAATGGAGCCATGAAATTTTGTTTGTCTCAATATTACAAAACATCACCACATTTCTTCCTCGGAGGCAGGAAACATCAAAATGTTTATTATGTGTGGGCTTTGCATATTTATTTTTGGACTTCCCTTGAAGTAATGATCAGTAATGAATATTCATCAAGTAAGATAGAAAGATAAGTCGCTACTTGCTGAAATGTTAGGAGGCGCTGTTGCAGACCTTTGTTTTATACAGGTTACCTATATACCTGTATGACAATCTGTACTCAGCAACATGGCATTGCATCACAGAACTCCTCTGTATATGTGTACATAATCAAGTTTTGTAGCTCTAAAGATTATAGCATTAAAAATTGCAGTGTTTCGTTGAGTGCAGTTTAAAATCATTATCAGTTTTTCAATAAGATCGATCAATAAGTTTAAAGAGATCAAGGATTTGTTGCTCTTATGATAAACCTGGTTTTATTTGCATTTAGGGAAAGCATTTGGCATGTTCAAAGCTAGGATATTTTAATAATAATTCACAAGTATAGTCCTGATGAATTTATTTAGGATTGCTTAAAAAAAATAAAAAATGAAAATAGATGCTACACACAGATGTTAGCTTGTTGGGTCTGTATGTCAATAAGATTTTGATAGAAATTAGAGTATCACATTCAAATTAATGTGTTTATACAAATACATGCACGACTCTTGGTGACAGAAAAATGCTGTAAATGGAGGTAATTCACAATACAAAGGGACTTCATAGTTTTATTGCAGTACGTACTATTGCTTCACTCCGAACCAGTCCTGTGCTTTGTTAAACAGACTAAGTAAAACATCGTTTCACACTGAACTTGAAGACCAAAGCTGTATAAGACTGATAAGCGGTGTCCTGTTGACGGTCAATCTTGAATGACCACTGTACATGATGGAGAATCTGCACCGGTGCATAGTAAGTATATAAGATTTTGTATTAAACAGACTATTACTACAATACACTAACTAAAAAGGAAATAATAAGAAAAAACATCTATTTAATTCCTTGTAATGCACTAAACCTCCTTAAACTGCTGTTGTTTTCGTTCAGGAAAATGTTAGTGATACATGTATTAAGATGTTTGGTAATATTTCAGGGGTTGGTTTTTATGACCTATTTGCAGGTATGGTCATTGAAGAACGAGCTAGGTTTATTTGTTCGAGGAAAACTGGAATACCCGGAGAAAAACCACTGACTTGCGGCCAGTATACCTGTCAACTTCCCAATGAAGGCATTAAACCCCGACCCAGTGGTGGAGAGTCGGACACCTAAACCACTCAGCCACTGTGGCCCCCTATGATATTTCAGGGAACATATGACATCAAAAGAGGGGTACCATGGAATATTGTTGGTGGTAAGTGAAGGGGCAAATGAAAAGATTTTACTGTAAAATTGAAAATGCTTACCCTGGTAAGCAAGACTATGTTATGTAATAATAATTTTACAGGCTGATACACTAGCAGTAAAATGTCAACAGTCGTAGACTGCATATATACATGTATTTGTAGATAATTTCTATAACACAACTGAACAAGAAAAACTGTTTTTATGTGTGATATGATTTTTATGAAAGAGTCATAAAAAGTACAAATATAAAATATCACATCAAAAATCTCCCATTTTATCCATGTCAAACAGTTTATGGCACCGTCACTGATATGTCACAGAAAAAAGGCTGGGCAGCATGTGGTTTATCACTTTTGAATTAATCATTTAGATTTTGTTGAATCGTTTGGTCTTTAAATGAGACCCAACACTACTGTACACTAAATTAATCAAAAACAAAAAAAATTTAACACAAAATAGCATTAATTGCCACAAATAAACATGCATTACCGTACTTTACGAACGTAGGTTTGAGATTAGATAGGAATGTGATAAATGTCTCCTGCCACAATTTGTATTTAGAATCTCACAAATGTTTCCTGTACACATAAAACAGCTTCCAGAAAACAAAGCAGCCTTACATTAAGGTGTAAATTCAGATAAGCAGTTGGCACATTTTTATTATTTGAAAATAAATATCAGATAATTCTTTTGTGAATTTGAAATCCTTGCAGATTGCTCAGTTCCAATGTTATATAATGAAATTCTGTCCCAACAATGAGTGTCTATCTGCCCCAACCCTCTCCCACCCACATCAAGAAAAAACCCAACATAGGAATGTTTATGAAGATAATTGTCGTGATGAAATATGAAGGTATACTTTTTCGGCAAACTTATTCCTTACTTGGTAATATCAATGTTAATAAATAAGATTTCTAAACTATCTGAGCCTTCATATTATCAAGTAATATATTAGCATCCCCTTCGCAACAGAAGGTCATTCAGTTAGCACTAAGTCCTTACATATATTATGTAATGTTCCGATTTTACATGTACATTTCCATTTGTAAGAACATTTGTACATACATGTATGTTGACCTGTGCCTTTGCTCAAGTTTTCTTTCAGATCAAGATGTCAAGGTCATTATTACTATTTGTAGTAAATATTTCCCTTGTTCTGGCGACTTTATTTTAATGGATTTGGATAAAAGTTAATTACATTAATAAGCTTAATAAGATATTTTCAATTTAAACCAGCCATAGTGGTTTGTATCTTGTTTTATTGCAAGGTCACTGTCAAGGTTATTCAAGTCCACCACACATCATGATCAGTGTAGCTTAGAATTCCTGTAGAGTTGAATTGTATTTAGTACATTATTTTTATGAAAATCAATATATCAGGTGATGGAATCGGAAATAAACTCCTGATTTTGTTTTGTACACAGGGTTCGAAGTCCTCACATCATTTAAGATCATATGAAGATGATTGCCTCCGGATGCACTACTTACAAGCAAGGGTTTATCAAGGTAGGACAGACATGAAGTGAGTCCAAGTGTTACAATGTTGACAGCAGATTAATTCTCGTTTCTCCAATGTCGTTTAAGCAGAAGTCAGAATAAACCCGAAAGTTTGGTAGGAGGGGGGTCCTCTGGCATAATTCACTTCTTAACATATCATTAATGGAATAAACTCCAGAATAACTGAATCAGATGACTGATCATTGATAACGGCGGGTACATGTATGTAAGATTCCACAATGTTGCCCTAAAAGACACTAGTGTCTTCAGTGGATCAGGAACATCAGTTATATATGTTCTGACATAACCTTGGATGAGTGGGTTTATCAATGGAGGGGTGTATTTGGGTTTATCAATGGAGGGGTGTATTTGGATTTATCAATGGAGGGGTGTGTATTTGGGTTTATCAATGGAGGGGGTATATTTGGGTTTATCAATGGAGGGGTGTATATTTGGGTTCATCAATGGAGGGGTGTATATTTGGGTTTATCAATGGAGGGGTGTATAATTGGGTTTATCAATGGAGGGGGTATATTTGGGGTTATCAATGGAGGGGGTATATTTGGGTTTATCAATGGAGGGGGTATATTTAGGTTTATCAATGGAGGGTGTATATTTGGGTTTATCAATGGAGGGGTATATATTTGGGTTTATCAATGGAGGGGTGTATATTTGGGTTTATCAATGAAGGAGTGTATATTTGGGTTTATCAATGGAGGGGGTATATTTGGGTTTATCAATGGAGGGAGTATATTTGGGTTTATCAATGGAGGGGGTATATTTGGGTTTATCAATGGAGGGGTGTATATTTGGGTTTATCAATGGAGGGGTGTATATTTGGGTTTATAAATGGAGGGGGTATATTTAGGTTTATCAATGGAGGGGGTATATTTGGTACCAAAAGAAGGATGTAAGTATAAAGTCAAAAGGTGTCTGCCTAACAATAAAGGGGTTGTATCGGTATCAAGGGAGGGGTTGTATGGGAAATAAGGGAGGGGTTGTATGGGTAATAAGGGAAGGATTGTATGGGTAATAAGGGAGGGGTTGTATGGGTAATACGGAAGGGTTGTATGGGTAAAAAGGGAGGGGTTGTATGAGTAATAAGGGAGTGGTTGTATGGATAATAAGGGAGGGGTTGTATGGGAAATAAGAAAGGGTTGTATGGGTAACAAGGAAGAAGTTGTATGGGTAACAAGGGAGGGATTGTATGGGTAATAAGGAGGGGTTGTATGGGTAATAAGGAAGCATTGTATGGGGAAAAAGGGAGGGGTTGTATGAGGAATAAGGGAGTGGTTGTATGGGTAATAAGGGAGGGGTTGTATGGGAAATAAGAAAGGGTTGTATGGGTAACATGGAAGAAGTTGTATGGGTAACAAGGGAGGGATTGTATGGGTAATAAGGAGGGGTTGTATTGGTAACAAGGGAGGGGTTGTATGGGTAACATGGAAGGGGTTGTATGGGTAATACGGAAGGGTTGTATAGATAACAAGGAGGGGGGGGGGTTGTTTGGGTAACAAAGAAGGGTTGTATGGGAAACAAGGAAGGGTTGTATGGGTAACAAAGAAGGGTTGTAAGGGCATCAAGGAAAGGGTTGTAAGGGTAACAAGGTAGGGGTTGTATGGGTAATAAGGTTGGGTTGTATGGGTAATAAGGGAGGGGATGTATGGGTAATAAGGAAGTGTTGTATGGGTAAAAAGGGAGGGTTGTATAGGTAATAAGGGAGGGGTTGTATGGGTAATAAGGGAGGGGTTGTATGGGTAATAAGGGAAGGGTTGTATGGTTAATAAGGGAAGGATTGTATGGGTAACAATGTTTGGTTGTATGGGTAGTAAGGGAGGGGTTGTATGATTAATTAGGGCGGGGTTGTATGGGTAATAAGGAAGTGTTGTATGGGTAATAAGGACGTGTTGTATGGGTAAAAGGGAGGGGTTGTATGGGTAATAAGGGAAGGGTTGTATGGGTAATAAGGAGGGGTTGTATGGGTAATAAGGAGGGATTGTATGGGTAACAAGGGAGGGGTTGTATGGTTAATTAGGGAGGGTTTGTATGGGTAATAAGGGAGGGGTTGTATGAATAATAAGGAAGTGTTGTATGGGTAAAAAGGGAGGGGTTGTATCGGTTATAAGGGAGGGGTTGTATGGGTAATAAGGAGGGGTTGTATGGGTAATAAGGAAGTGTTGTATGGGTAAAAAGGGAGGGGTTGTATGGGTAATAAGGGAGGGGTGGTATGGGTAATAAGGAGGGGTTGTATGGGTGATAAGGAGGGATTGTATGGGTAATAAGGGAAGGGTTGTATGGGTAATAAGGGAGGGGTTGTATGGGTAATAAGGGAGGGGTTGTATGGGTAATAAGGGAGGGGTTGTATGGGTAATAAGGGAGGGGTTGTATGGGTAATAAGGGAGGGGTTGTATGGGTAATAAGGGAGTGTTCTATGGGTAAAAAGGGAGGGGTTGTATGGGTAATAAGGGAGTGGTTGTATGGTTAATAAGGAAGTGTTCTATGGGTAAAAAGGGAGGGGTTGTATGGGTTATAAGGGAGGGGTTGTATGGGTAATAAGGAGGGGTTGTATGGGTAACAAGGGAGGGGTTGTATGGGTAATAAGGAGGGATTGTATGGGTAATAAGGTAGGGGTTGTATGGGTAATAAGGGAGGGGTTGTATGGGTAATAAGGGAGGAGTTGTATAGGTAATAAGGAAGGGGTTGGAAGGGTAACAAGGGAGGGGTTGTATGGGTAATAAGGAAGGGATTGTATGGTTAATAAGGGAGGGGTTGTATGGGTAATTAGGAAGTGTTGTATGGGTAAAAAGGGAGGGGTTGTATGGGTAATAAGGGAGAGGTTGTATGGGTAATAAGGAGGGGTTGTATGGGTAATAAGGAGGGGATTGTATGGATAATAAGGGAGGGGTTGTATGGGTAATAAGGGAGGGGTTGTATGGGTAAAAAGGGAGGGATTGTATGGGTTATAAGGGAGGGGTTGTATGGGTAATAAGGAGGGGCTGTATGGGTAACAAAGGAGGGGTTGTATGTGTAATAAGGAGGGATTGTATGGGTAATAAGGTAAGGGTTGTTTGGGTAATAAGGGAGGGGTTGTATGGGAAATAAGGGAGGAGTTGTATAGGTAATAAGGAAGGGACTGGAAGGGTAACAAGGGAAGGGTTGTATGGGTAATAAGGAAGGGGTTGTATGGTTAATAAGGTAGGGGTTGTATGGGTAATATGGAAGCATTGTATGGGTAAAAAGGGAGGGGTTGTATGAGTAATAAGGGAGTGGTTGTATGGATAATAAGGGAGGGGTTGTACGTTTAACAAGGGAGGGGTTGTATGGGTAATAAGGGAGGGGAGGAGTTGTATAGGTAATAAGGAAGGGACTGGAAGGGTAACAAGGGAGAAGTTGTATGGGTAATAAGGAAGGGGTTGTATGGTTAATAAGGGACGGGTTGTATGGGTAATAAGGAAGCATTGTATGGGTAAAAAGGGAGGGGATGTATGGGTAATAAGGAAGTGTTGTATGGGTAATAAGGAAGCGTTGTATGGGTAAAAAGGGAGGGGTTCTATGAGTAAAAAGGGAGGGGTTGTATGGGTAATAAGGGAGTGGTTGTATGGGTAATAAGGGAGGGGTTGTATGTTTAACAAGGGAGGGGTTGTATGGGTAATAAGGGAGGGGAGGAGTTGTATAGGTAATAAGGAAGGGACTGGAAGGGTAACAAGGGAGAGGTTGTATGGGTAATAAGGAAGGGGTTGTATGGTGAATAAGGTAGGGGTTGTATGGGTAATAAGGAAGCATTGTATGGGTAAAAAGGGAGGGGTTGTATGAGTAATAAGGGAGGGGTTGTATGGGAAATAAGGGAGGAGTTGTATAGGTAATAAGGGAGGGGTTGTATGGGTAATAAGGAAGCATTGTATGGGTAAAAAGGGAGGGGTTGTATGAGTAATAAGGGAGTGGTTGTATGGGTAATAAGGGAGGGGTTGTATGTCTAACAAGGGAGGGGTTGTATGGGAAATAAGGGAGGAGTTGGATAGGTAATAAGGAAGGGACTGGAAGGGTAACAAGGGAGGGGTTGTATGGGTAATAAGGAAGGGGTTGTATGGTGAATAAGGTAGGGGTTGTATGGGTAATAAGGAAGCATTGTATGGGTAAAAAGGGAGGGGTTGTATGAGTAATAAGGGAGGGGTTGTATGGGAAATAAGGGAGGAGTTGTATAGGTAATAAGGGAGGGGTTGTATGGGTAATAAGGAAGCATTGTATGGGTAAAAAGGGAGGGGTTGTATGAGTAATAAGGGAGTGGTTGTATGGGTAATAAAGGAGGGGTTGTATGGGAAATAAGGAAGGGTTGTATGGGTAACATGGAAGAACTTGTATGGGTAACAAGGGAGGGATTGTATGGGTAATAAGGAGGGGTTGTATTGGTAACAAGGGAGGGGTTGTATGGGTAACATGGAAGGGGTTGTATGGGTAATAGGGAAGGGTTGTATAGATAACAAGGGGGGGGGGGGGTTGTTTGGGTAACAAAGAAGGGTTGTATGGGAAACAAGGAAGGGTTGTATGGGTAACAAAGAAGGGTGGTATGGGCATCAAGGAAAGGGTTGTAAGGGTAACAAGGTAGGGTTAAAGGGTAAACAGGGAGGGGTTGTATGGGTAACATTAGAGAGGGATTGTATGGGTATCAAGGCAAGGGTTGTATTGGTAGCAAGGAAAGGGGTTGTATGGGTTACAAGGAAGGTTGAACGGGTAACAAGGAAAGGTTGAAGGGGTAACAAGGAAGGAGTTGTATGGGTAGCAAGGAAGGGTTGAATGGGTAGCAAGGAAGGAGTTGTATGGGTAGCAAGGAAGGGTTGAAGGGGTAACAAGGAAGGAGTTGTATGGGTAGCAAGGAAGGGTTGAAGGGGTAACAAGGAAGGAGTTGTATGGGTAGCAAAGAAAGGGGTTGTATGTGTAACAAGGAAGGGTTGAAGGGGTAACAAGGAAGGAGTTGTATGGGTAGCAAGGAAGGGTTGAAGGGGTAACAAGGA